GTCTGTTGGCTCTTTGATGTATGCTACGCGCCATACAATTTGCTCTGGTTTAGGTTGGGCAGCGACTTAATCTTACTCGCCGTCCGCAGACCCGCGAAGTCGTAGCTGGAGATCATCGCTCAAACAACTGAAGAAGACACTTTATACGTGTTTAAGAACTACGAACATGTACTTTAGTAAAATTAAGTACTTACCATATAATTGCAAAGCAAACTATTTTCATTCAATTCAACATTTCAAGAAATTATTGTTTAAAATTTCCTTATTACCTGCCTACTAATAAGTAAGTAAATTAGTGGACCACGTTATCAGTTTAGATAACATAAAACAAATTGATTTCCCACTAATCAATTGCGTGTACCTACTCGTATTTAGAAGCTATTTGCGTCATTACAGGCTTAGGTTTTAAATAATGAAATATCACGCAATCCTCAACACATAGTAGGTACCACAAGATTTACCCTCTGTCATACCCCAATTTTTAAATCCTGAAGCGGTGATATGTCTACTGGTTTGTTGAATTTGCCGGCCTATTCACGGAATCTATTTTTTTTATCGTACAGATTAATACATCTATCATACCTATTTATATTTTTTAGGAAAAAACACCGTCCTATGGCTTCTCCCGCCATAGCTCAGCAGAAGAAATGACTTGACGGCTCAATTTCCCGCGTCTCTGAATTGTCGGAGAGTCATGCTTCGAACGGATTGATACAACAGCCTCCCGGAAAACCGATATGCACCAACCACAGCATTGTGTTTCGCCGTTTGAGAGAGGTTACTATAGATTCAATCCTTCTTCTCTTTCCCAATCCTTAAATATCCAAATCCATAATGTCGGCATCGCACTCGTAACTCCTCTGTTGATGCCGGTCTCTATGGGCGCAACTGGTTGGTTACCATCAGATTTCCCGCCAGTTAGACGTCCTATAGCATAAAAGAAAATTAAGTCTAATAGTCTTTTTTCTTTTTTCTATGTAATATTATTATATTACCTGATGGTAAGCAATCAGCGCAGCCCATGGACACCCGCAACGGAGGAGTTACGAGTGCGTTGCCGACCTTTTAGGGATTAGGGATTTGGAGATTTAGGGATTGGGGGAGGGGAAGGATTGGGCCTCCGGTAACCTCACTCACACGGCGAAATACAACGCTGCGGTTGTTTTACGCCGGTTTTCTGTGAGGCCATGGTATCACTCCGGTCGAGCCAACCCATTCGTGCCGAAGCATGGCTCTCCCACACTTGTCAAAATATAATTGAATCTTTGCATACCTATCTCAATCATATCAGCCAAATTACTTGTGCTTAGGTACCTACATATTTTCGCCCACCTGTAGCAAACACCAACCTGTAGCCACATTATCTTAAAACAAATGCAATTAATGAGGCGATCATAGCTATCATAGTAGTGTTATCTAATCAAATACATTATGTGTGAACACTTTCTTACATGACTATTTATAGCAAAAACAAAATATTTATAGATAAAGAAACAAGTTGATGTGTACCTGGGTGATTCTCCGAAAAAACTTAACTTTTATTTAACAAATCATTATCCTCCCGGGTTGTTAAACATCTTAGAAACTTATTATTTGTGTTTTAATCGGCACAATCGCCATAATTTTGGGTTAAGGATAATGACATCATATTTTTGTTAAATTGTTGGGAAGAACATCCAAACTACTCTTTTGCTCTTGGCTCATGCTCTTTTTAATTTTTCGCAAGACGGGTTGGTTATATAATGGATAATTTTTATTTAGGTAATGTGGACCTAGCTCACTAGTAGATAATAAACAAATAAGTCCGGCTCGCAGGTTTAGAATGTACAGGGTTGTTTTTAATCAATAAGAGCTTGAAAATCTGTCTCGTCCCACGTACCGTGGTAAATACATTTTTATTTCTCTTTTTTATTTTTCTCATACCCATCACACCCAGACCCGGAGCAACTATTTGTGGATCACACAGATTTGTACCTACACGTTGCACGACAGCCAGTTGCCCAACCACCGCGCCAATCGTGCAACCAAAACATATAGATATGTTTGGCCTGGTGATTGATCTGGAAATCATAAGCTTCCTTCTACTCATTCTGAAGATCGTAAAATGACGTATAACGTGTGTACGGGCGCAGTGTCATGGCGCTTCATCTCGCTGTATCTCCGTGTCATGTATTATTTTTAATCCGGCACACAATGCCGCGATGCGACCTCGCCGCACACGGCTAATCCGAGCCCATCGAAGTTGTGGCCATTGATTAACGTCATACGTGATGAATTATACAGATTCTTACAACGAAACACCATAATCAAGTTATAAAAGAGTGTCGAAAAATAAAATTCTTTTAGTGGGAGACCGATGTTTCGACACGAATGTGACTCGACCCGAGTGATACCACTGCCTCACAGAAAACCAGAGTGAAACAACCATAGTGTTGCGTTTCGCCGTGTAGGCCTAATCCTTCCCCTCCCCAATCACTCCCCAATCCCAAAACCTCCAAATCCTTCATCCCCAAAAGGTCGACAACGCACTAGAAACTCCTCCGTTGTTGGGAAACAGGGGAGTTACTACCACGGTTACTACTAACCGAAAAGTGGGTTTAGCAAACTTTGAGTGATCTTCTTCTTACCATTTTGCTTTTGTATTAGATATTCTTCTAGATTTAGATTTAACTAACAACCCAAACCCATGATAACCGATAAACAAAATCATAAGCAAAACGCGATAAAAATTCTCTGCATCTTAAAATAGAAGCAGTGTTACATTGGACACGCACTCCCATACGTTGGCGCTCACCTCAGCGATGCACGACGTTACAGAATGATAACAATGTTCCGTCTTATTCAGCCACATCTCTGCAACTTATCGCTCCATACTTATTCTGTGGCTAGGCTCCACCTGTCTATATCCGCGAGCAAGCGTGCCTTCATTGTTACACATTACAATATGAAACGGGAATACCAATGCTTTGTTATTTATTTCAATTTAAATGTAGATTTTTATTACTAAAGGATGTTTTTATCGAACATAGGAAATTACTCGTCGAGAGAGTCCCAATCCAACTTGAAAGTAGTCATTAGTCGCAAGTGAGTTTTGATCAACGAATTTGTTAGATATGTCAGGCGATAGTAAAGTTATGCAAAAAATACTAAAGAAATGTTTTAAAACTACGGCTTTTGAATATTTATGTTTTACCGTTAACTAGGTTTGTACATGCGTCAGTATTCTAGATACTTCTAAATTTTGACGTCTATACAACTAACTATGGAATGCGTTGCAGGATTGCCTGGTGATCTGTAGTACAAGTTCCACCTACACAGACACTACTCTCACGTTAATTTAACTGTATTTTGACCATTTTGTGACCTGAGAAAATTAAATTATTCTATTCTCGTTTATTCTATTCTAGTCTATCGGAAATGTTCGTGTGACGTGACTAACGACGATGGATTCTTGACCTAGCTCTATGCAACGCGAAGGTGATTCAAACCAACAGAGAAAATACTTACGCGCCACCACACAGTCGGTTTTAATATTTTTGGGTAGTTATCAGGTAATCCATCCCCTCGTTTCCCTCCTATTCACTCCTAACACTCAGAAGAGTTACCCTAAAGTGTTGCAGGTGGCGACGGGCGGCGCCGATTGCTTGCCATCAGGTAATCCATCAGCTCAAGACCGGCTTATCACATAAAAAGATTTTTTTAATTCAATTCCAGATATAAGTGTGTAATAATTTTTAAGTGTGGGAGGGCCAAGCTTCAGCTCGAATGGGTCGGCTCGACCGAAGTGACACCACGGCTTCACAGAAAACCGGCGTGAAACAACACAGCGTTGTGTTTCGACGTGTGAGTGAGGTTACCGGAGGCCCAATCCCTCCCCATCCGTTCCCAATCCTCAAATATCCTGAAGCTTTATCCCTAAAAGGCCGGCAACGCACTCGACAACAACTCCTTTGATGTCGCGGGTGTCCATGGGCGGCGCTGATTGCTTACCATCAGGTAATCCTTCTGCTCGATTTCTGTAGTGATCATGATTTCCTAAAATCTTTTTTTTTTATGGTAAGAGGTATAAAAAAGATTTCGTAAAACGAAATGTACGTAGCCGAACTACTACACGCATTTTTGTTTTAAACGCAACGATAGTCATTATCGAAATAGGCCCGTGATTGCAGTGAACGCTTGTATTCGAGAAATGCACTAAAATGTGCGCAGATCTCGTAGTGAGTGCTTGCGACGATTAAAAAGTATTTAAAAGCATAATAATAGTCCTCGACGCACAAATTATTTGTCTAGGTTGGGGGAGTATAAATTATTTACGATATTTTTTGCACTGCATTGTGAAGCAAAGTTTTGAATAGAATTTTTTTTTATGGAATATTTGGCAAACGAACAGACGGATCACCTGATGGTAAGCGATCGGCGCCGCCCATGGACATCCGCAACACCAGAGGAGTCACAGGTGCGTTGCCGGCCTTTTAATAATCTTGTATATTACCTATATTTGCATAATTAATTACTTGGTTCGATTTATAATTTGGTAAAATGTGTATATTACAGTAAAGAATTTCGTATTAAGTAACAAAATAGTGTAAGGAAAAAATAAATGAAAATACAAAATAATTTTCTAAAAAATATATTTTCTCAATAATATAATTCTATAATACATTATAATTATATTGAGTTATATATTAGTAACAGAGCTCGTACATAACTTGCCTATTGTAACATAACATCAATCCAAGACCGTACAAATGACAGTTTGAGTAAAAAAATAAATATTTCAAGGATGTCAACACATCGAATTTATTTTACATAAACAGTTAATTTGATACTTAGATACTTTGCATAGCATATTTGACAAATTTTCTTCTAAACAACAAGTATCAAAATTGTGCCAACTATTGCTTTATTTTAATTATTAGTGATATGAAAGCAATATTGTTTTGTGAACTGTCTTCTACAGCCAGTTAAGTTAAATAAAACGATGCAAATTTGTTAAAAATGTATACAAAACAACGCATTACGCCTATACGTCTCAAAGATGTACAGACGTAAAGATATATATTTAGCTTTTTAACTTCCTATGTAACCTAATATTAAATGCCTGACGTATGTATTCTTTATACAGTTGTACACACTAATAAATAAACTTGTTTGACATTTTTAACTAAATAAAAGCAACACATGAAATTATCCCAAGCGGTTAAATTGTAAATTCTTTTGGAAATTATTTCTTTTCGAACAAAGCTCGACTAGTTTCAAGTCACACCGGGACCCATGTTAATGATGTTTCAACTTTTTTCTAGTTCACGAGAAAAACTCGTATGTTTCAACCAGACTATCAACTGAAAATATCAAAGTTGAAATGTAACATTTGTCAAATTAAGATAAATAAAATTCATGTGTTGGCGTTTTTTCTAAGTCGGTTGTTGTATAAAATTAATATTCTTCTAATAAATATATTAAAATTATAATAAGAACGCCACGGAGTAAGTGGAGTATAGTTCTTACGATACGATTACATTGATACAATTTAAACTCTAATACAATAAGCATTAGAAATGTTTTTAGTATACTCCGTGGTTACTTATCGTCAAGAGACGTTTGCATAGTACGTAGTTGGAATACGCTGATCTTGTAATTTATTTGCACCCCTTACATGTTAAATACATGAACATGACTAACGACCAGTCTCCTTCGTTAATATGTAAATAAGTATAATTATATACTAGAGTTAGATTGAGGAAATTAAAATAAACTTTCGAAAGAATTTTTGGTAGGTAGTACAGAAATAAATTAACTTTGACTTAAGATGTCTAAGTATACATTTGAAATTGTAAGTAAGTAATAGCGAGGGAACGAATCATGATATAAAAGGGGTGCAAATTAAGTCAGTGTATATACTCAGAGTAGAGTATTGAGACGGGAATGGTTCACCGCGCATAGACTTGTAGTTGCGTGGCGAGCTGGAACAACATCTTGAGGCCGGGCAGGAAGCTGGCGACGGCGGCGAAGTCGGGCCCCGTGGCCAGCGACGTGGCCACGGCCAGCGCCGCGCCGTGCTCGCCGCCCTGCGCGTACGCGGCGCACGACGACAGCGACGTGCACGCGCTCTCCGACAACTGCACCACAACCAATTACTTTAATCATCCATCAAACCCCAAACGAACGCCAGCGTTCGCGCACATATTGTTCTTCTATTGTATCTCGAATGATCATGATTAAAAGGATATATAACATCTGAAGGTTTATTTTGTTAAACGCACAATTTCAGTATTTCAAAACCAATACGAATTTAAAACTTTTAAGGAAATAGCGTATTCCTACTCAGTACTTCTGGTGTTGCTGTTGCCCATGGGCGAGGCTAATAATCGCTTACTATCAGGTGACTCCTGACAACCAATAGAAGTTGACCAGCGAATTAAATCACACAGAAGGAACTAGTATTATATAATTTCGTATACAATGAACTAGAAGATTTTCCTTGCTTTTAGGCGTTTTCGCCACACCTATTAGTGCATACAAGTGTAACAGAATACACATAGGTCCCATTACAATGGTAAATTTTCCGTGGTGTGGTGACTGGGCCTCTCCAAGATGTACAGTCACTTTATTGCCTTTTAGGCGTTGCATTTAAAATACCAAGGGAAGTAGAATCTATAGGTATATGTATTTAGCATTTTCTTTTGTTTTCATGGTTGTCTGTATGTTCTGTGAATAAGGCTACAGGAAATTTAGCGGGCTTGTCCCAAAAAATTACATAATAATACCATGTTTTGGCTCATTCTTGTAGGTATTAGTGTGTCTTGTACTACTAGCTTACCTTATATTCACGCAGCATATCGTAAAGAGTTTCCAGTCTTCTTTGGACGTCTTCTAGTTTCCTCTTCATTTGCTACAAATAACAGTAAAATATTATCATACAAAGTCCATTTTTGAACGTCGAAAAAATACTCATAAAATGTCCGTTGAACTTTACTAGAGGACTGACCTCCAGTGAAGCTATTGTCACTTAAGTCAGAAAAAACAATTCAATGATCTAAATTAAACCCAGCTACATGTATCAAATTATGTAAGGTAATTTAGTAGTTTTATAAAACATAGGTTATGATGTATATATATCGAAAGTCTTTCTTTGTTATTGCTGTTACTTTTATTACTATTTTTATTTTTGTATAATTTCTTTTTAGTACTTTGAGTTCATTTTATACTAGGTTAAGCCTCACTGTCGTATTGGGAACATAACCTGTAATGAGAGTGTAGGAAGATTTTTTGTACTAAATAAATAAATAAATACAGTTTCTTTTTCACTAGCTTTTGCCCGCAACTTTGTTCGCGTGGAATAGTGACGTCCCATGTCCTTTCTCGAGTTCCAAACTATGTCTATACCAAATTTCACACAAAAAGGTTCAGTAGTTTAGGTGTGAAGAAAAGACAGGCAGACAGAAGGAGTTACTTTCGCATATTAATAATAATTAAGTTTGGATTTGGATAACATTTCTGGGGAAATCCGTACATTTTTATAAATTAATAAAATTTGCGATCCCTAACACAAAGGGAGGAAAAGATTGAATATAAATTTAATTTGTGTATAAGCAAGTTTTTAAGAATTATGTAGTTTTAAAAATGTAGTTTGTGTTTGAACATGTGAATGTATGAATGTGTATGTTTACTTACAGGATTAGTTGCTCTGTTGGTGCATTCGGTGCGGATGGCATCGAAGACAGTCTGTAGCATGGCGTACTGCTCGGGGAGCGGGGCCTTCTGCTCGGGCAGGGCCGGCTCCGCGGGGACTGGGCTCTCCGGCTAAGTAGATAGAATTTTTTTTATTAACATAACTCTCATGGTATTTAAGATAATCTATTTGTAGATTTGCTGATATAATAGAAAATGTTACCATAAGCTCCTAACACAAATGTGAGAGAGCCATGCTTCGGTACTAATGGGTCGGTTCGACCGGAGTCATACCGCGGCCTCGCAGAAAACCGACGTGAAACAACCACAACGTTGTGTTTGGCCTTGTGAATGAGGTTACCGGAGCCCCAATCCTACCCGTCCCCCAATAACAAAATCTGAATATCCCTAATCTCTAAAAGGTCGGCAACGCACTCGTAACTCTTCTATTGTTGCGGGTGTCCATGGGCGGCGTTGATTACTTACCATCAGGTAATCAGTATACATGCTCGATTACCGACCTGTCATAATAATATACAAAAACACAATGTGTAATAATTCTTTTGTAAAAAAATGATTGAAGAGCTAAAGCATTATATGAAGTTTTACAAACCTTTTGCTGATAGGCAGGCGTCATGTTGGTGGCCTGATAATCAGGGTAGGAGTTGCCATACTGCTGTCCGTACTGGTTAGGCTGTGCATACTGGCCGGTCTGTGCATACTGGCCCGCCTGTGCATACTGGCCGGCCTGTGCATACTGGCCCGGGTACTGGGCGGGCGCCGCTAGCGGTACGTGTTGGGGAGGCTCCACCCCAAACAGCGGGTGAGTGATCGGAGCTTGGGCCGTTACTTCTTGCTTCGGCTACAAATTGAAACAGTATTGAAAGTATTTCCGTATATAAAGAGTAGTCTTTATCAAAGTTTTTACAATGTCGCGTAAAACTGTAATGATTTCAGTAAACATAAAATACAAAAACCAATTTTATTTCTATTCGGGTTCCTTCAGAGATGACTAGCTGTTCTAATGAACTGTTATATACGTATTTTGCAGTTCATAAATTCTTCCTTCCAGGCCAGATCTCAAGCTAATACTTACCCTTGGGGTGTTTGGAAGGTAATTAAAAGTACAAATACGATATTTCGGCTCAAATAAAGTACTGTCCAATACATAATTAGAATAGCACATACTACTGTGAGCCTTAAAAATTTTACTGCAATGTTAGGCGTAATTAAGAATCAACAATAACAAATGAATAACTAGAAAAATGCATTAAACACACCCAAACGATTTTCTTATTATATTAAATCTATTATGAGACATACCAAATATATTGAAAATAACCTATCTCATTCAAGTAACTGGATATAAGCTGCTCATGAATATGAGCCCCGTTGTGACTTGAAACTAGTCGAGTTTTTCTCAGTCACTTCACATGAGTAGTTATTATTTTCAATAAGCACAAACGACATTCCTCAAAGAACACGTCAACACACCAAACTCAAATATTTCAGTTATAATATGAATGGTAGACAGGAATACACTCAACTCTACACATACTCTTGATTTGGTGAAAATTTATTAATATTTCAGAGAAGCACTCGTATTTGAACTATTAACGACAAGAAATCTAAATTAAACATAGTGTTTCGTAGCTTTATACAATCTGTTTCACAAAATGGAAATTAAAAAATATTCAATTTTAACACTCTAGGCAGGTTAGAAACAAAGGGGTAAGATGGAACTACCACAAAAATATTCATAAGTAAGTCTGTACTCATGTCTGAATAACGCAAGTATAAAGATTTTATTCAAGTCAAGTCAGAATTGCGTTTACGACAGAACATTTAAAACAAAATGTCTGTGAGATAGCACACACGGGTAAAAATCTCACAAAAACACTTGAAAACTTGCATTGTAAGCCAATTGGGAGTTTCAAATGTGGGTAATGTGGACGAGACAATGCAATGTTAGTGCGCTATGGCTGGATGCGACTGGATGTGACTGGATGAGATCGGGTAAGGCTTGATGTGGCATTGGGTATGGCTGGGTGCGACTGGGTATGGCTTGGTACAACTGGGTATGATTAGGTACAACTAGGTATGGGTATGGCTAGGTACGTCTGGGAATGGCTGGGTACGACTGGGAATGGCTGGGTAAGACTAAGAATAGCTGGGTAAGACTAAGAATGGCTGGGTACGACTGGTTATAGCTGGGTACGACTGGGAATGGCTGGGTAAGACTAAGAATGGCTGGGTACGACTGGTTATAGCTGCGGTTACGGCTAGGTATGGATGGGTACGTCTGAATAAGGTTAGGTAACGCAAGGTATGACTGGGTATGGCAGGGTACAACTGGGTGTGGCTGCGGGTATGGCTGGGTATTTCTGCAGGTACGGCTGGGTACGACTGGTTGTGGCTGGGTACGACTGGGTATGGTTGGGTACAGGGTACCTCTACAGCGCGCCGGTGCCGGATGGCGTGGTCCCAGCGCCGCGTGCCGGCGTGCAGGGCCGACATGTCGCACGTCTCTAGCGGCGGCCAGCCCTACTCCGTAACGTGAACTTAGTTCTTTGAATAGAATAACTACATTTTGTGCTTTTCCTACCCATATTGTAATGTGGGTGTACAACAATATTGTTCTGACTTCTTCGTTCTACTTTCAGTCATAGTAACCTTTTAACATTAAGAGTAACTATTCAATTTGGTCACGTTTCTTACTTATTTGTTACTTGGCATTATAATTGTCTATAAGAAAAGTTAACGCGCATTATAACGTAAGGTACTTTTTCAATAGACTTAATTTCTTAATAAATGATATAGCGACATACCTTAGGTTTGGAAGACAGCATGGGTGGATCGTTCCATCCTGGTGGTACGGGCTTTGAAGGCACGGCGGGGGCAACAGGTTCAGGCGCTTGCACGGGGTTGAAGTACGTGCCATTAACCGCTGGGGCGCTGCCCATTTGCCCAGGAGCTCCACCCATTGGTCCAGGAGGCCCTCCCATTTGTCCCGGGGGCCCGTGAATTTGGTTCATGGGTCCCGGTGTGTTGTACGAAGGAACACTAGTGGCTCCATACTGATCGGGTAATGGACTATTGAATCCGCCGTATGGTTGTGACGTCACGGGGTTGTTGAAACTGTACTGATTGTATAGAGGCGCCGACTGCACTGAAGGGTCCACTTTGTATTTAGAACGTGAACCGATACCTGAAGCAAATATTGCATTTAGTGGTAAAATTGCGTGTTAACTATGCGAAATATTCATTAAAGATAAATAAAATTAAGATTTAAATAAAATGTAATTATTTTATTGTACATTTTACTATTGAAATTTATGACAAATTAAAGGTGATTAAATAAGTAAGAAAACGTACCTCCTTGTGGGCCCACACTGCCAGGGCGTGGCGGCTGCGCCTGCGGCGGGGGCGGGGCTTGCGGCTGCATCATGGCGGGGGGAGGGGCCACTGGCTGTAGGGGCGGGGCCGGCGCTGGGGCTGCGTAGGGGCCGCGCTGTGGCATGCTTGGTGCTGCCACTGAGGACTGTCCCCATGGCTGATCATATGCACCTAGCAAAACATAATCAAAGTCATTATAGACTTACAAGTCATTTATTCACGTATTTACAAACATAATAAAAATAAAAGGACCTCTATAATTACTAGTGGAAGTAAAATCTTAATTACCTGCGGACGCGTACGCGGGCTCTGGGTGCGCGGGGTGCGCGCGGCGAGGGTGTGCCGCGCTATGCGCGCGCCCTGGCTGCATCTGCGCCTGCTGATTTATTGTAACATATGGATTTATTTACACATACATGGATTGAAATGAAATCAGGAAAAATATATTTTAAAACGATATGTCGTCAAAGTTATAGACGAGTCACTTGAGTCGGCAAACGTCGGCAAAGTCGGGTTCTCCAAAGCGAAAAGCATTTCAAAGAGGTTAAAAGACAGGGTGTGTACTAACATGGCTGGCCCTCCTCTGAGGCAGTAGTCCGAGTGCATGCATGAGCCGGTCCCGGAGGTCAGCGTGCTGGATGCCCTCGAGTACGTTGAGCGCGCTCTGCAGGCAGCCCTGCGCCGCCAGCCGGGACGCGTACTCGTTCAGTACTGTCTCCAGGGTGCCACCCGCCTGCCACAACCATACAATATTATTATTATTCTACAAGGTGCAACACAACTAGTTAGCGTTATGTTTAGCCGTGTGAGTGACATTACGGTAGACCCATTCTCTTAAATATCCAAAACCCTTATCCCCAAAAAGCCAGCTACGTACTTTTAATTTCATTGATGTTGCGGGTGTTCTCGGGAGTAATCGATTCGGAAATATTCGATTTCCACATCGAATTATTTCGCAACGTCACTATATAGTACTTGTTATAATGTTGCAACACTGAAATTGTCAAATCAGGAATGAAATTAAAATTCCGAGTCTACGCGCCTCATGGAGCAATCATATTATCACAGATCGGACTGATGTTTCACCAGAATGCAAGCAATATACGGCGTTTTGTCCCCGAGTAGAGTGAGTGGGATGGTTTTTAGTCAGTCATGGAGACTTGCAGTGCCAAAGGAGTTATTACAAGTGCTTTTATGGCCTCTTGTGGGCTATAGGGGATTTAAGGATAGAAGGATAAGGATTTGAGGATTGAGGAGGGGGAAGAATTGGGCCTCCGGTAACCTCGCTCACACGGCACACAACGTAAGTGTAGCTTCTCGCCGGTTATGTGTGAGGTTATGGTTTCGGTCATGAGTGCGAGTAGTATGTGTGTGAGTACGTACCGCGACAGGTCGTCCGCGAGCCTGCGCAGCGCGGCGCGCCAGCAGGGCGAGCTGGGCGCGCGCGGTGAGGGCGGCGAGCGCGCGGGGCGGGGCGTGGGGCGGGGCTTGCGGCGCGCGCGCCAGCAGGCAGTCGGCGCTCATGGCGCACGCGTAGCACGTGCTGGCCGCCGCGCGCTCCGACTCACGCCACAGACGGTCGCCCAGCAACTCTGGATATACACACCCCAACTGACTTACATATACGAAGGTCAAACTGAAAGTTCTTAGAACTGGCCACTTATAAACAATATAATAAAAAAAATATTCTAAAATTTTAAAATAGAACTCTTTGCCAATATTACTGAGTACATATTTCATTCATTTGTCATTTGTTTCACAATTTGGCATCAAATTGAAAATTGTCTGTATCACGTCAACATGAATTTAACACGAGAAAATTTTCGTGCAATATTTTTTTATGACTTGCGATATCATATAAGTCAACAAGAAAGTTATGATATACTACGATTGGACGACCTTTCACGATTAAGCCCCATCTCGTGCGTCTGTTTAGAACTGGTTTAATGAGTTTAAACGTGGTCGCACTAATCTCACTGATGATTTACGTGAGGGACGGCCTTCTACGGCGACGACTGAAGATAACACGTTGTGCGGCGTATGATAGAGACTAACAAAAGAGTGACCTATCAGCAGATTCGGACAAGCTTAGGCATCGGTATGAGTCAAGTGCACAAAATCTTCCACGAACATTTAGCGGTCAGGAAGCTTTGCGTCCGATGGATACCTCCTAGTTTGACTGAGGCTCAAAAACTCCATGGTGTTGGTGCCGTAAAATGATTGAAAGATTTAACGGAGGTGACTCAAATGCTGTGTTCGGCATACTAACAGGTGACGAAAGCTGGATTTACTGATATGATCCTGAAACCAAAAGACAATCTGCTCAGTGGATGTTTCCTTTCGAGGAATTGCCAACTAAAGTGAAGAGAGATCGAAGTGCGGGAAAAAAATCGTAGCCTCGTTCTTTGGAAGGATAGGTCATTTCGCGACAATTGTGTTAGAGCATCAAAAACCAGTTTCTGCAGAAACACACACTAGTACACTACCAATTGTTTGCCACTTGTCTTGGACAAAGTTCGAGAGTAACGACCTGGCAGTAGGATACTCCTTCACCACGACAACGCCTCGTCGCATACCGCCAAGCGAATGATCGACTATTTGGCGACATCAAACGTTGAATTACTGGGTCACCCGCCGTATAGCCCCGACCTCGACTTAGTCTAATGTAATCAGTTTTTGATTTTCTAAGTCCTTTCAGTTTGACCCTCGTACACGGCACTCTATCTCACATTACGGCTGTGACACTACACAATGCAATAGTAACAACATGCCAAAGTGTTGGCCGTAAATCCACCAAAACAACTGTTACACATGTACAAAGTACAGTTTATTGATGTCTACCGCGCACGAAGTCAGCAGTTCCACACTGACCCAAACATTAAGTGTTAATATTAACATTGTTGTAAAGTTAGTAAACGTTCGGTCACCAACCAAGCTGTGTCTGCTCATACCATTAACCATTACCATTTTAACCAATACAGCATATTTTACCATACAAGTTTCCGACCGTTTTTGACCGGGTGTGCATTCAATAACATTTATTTAATTACAATTTTAATTACATTGTATCGCGTGTACGTGATATTATTAAACTATTTAAACTGAACATTAACAATTTTCTTTTTGTTCTTCTCCACCAACAATCATTCGCAATCCGAACACTTTACACGTCTGACCCAACCAATTTACGTGTAAAATTGAGTCCATGAACTCAACCTACAGTACAAAAAACAATCCTACTATGGATTATAAAAAAATCTTACAATATCCTGGCACTTGTATAAAATTAAATAAGCAATAACACCTTATAAAACTTCAACGAACAGTCTAATACTTACCGCAATAATGACTGGCAGTTTCCTGGTCGCAGTGCGTGATTATAGCAGCGAGTGTCTCCCTCCAGCTGGAGGGCGCGGCACTAGCGACGAGGGCTTCCCAACCTCCCATCAGTAAGCTCCCCGCCACCAGCGACACCGGAGACCCCGCCGTCGAGTTCAAGTGGTACTTCTGCACTTTGTGAAGAAGCTCTGGACTACCTGTCATCATAACGAAAAATAATTAAAACAACAATCTAAAAGTTACACTATAAATAACATATAATAACTTTATCAAACTTGTTACAAAACAATTTTTTTAATTAGTCTGATTCTAAACCATCGAGCCGATTTTTGTATTTCAAATTAAAAGTGAGAATAAGATTGAAAATACAAAACCTCAATGGTTTAAAAATATTTTAATATCCGACATTGTCACTAATTCTCACCCAGTGAAGCGATGACCAGTGCGTCAGCGGTCCTCTTAGCATCGAGACACAGTTCCACCGCCTCTTCCAAGTTACCAACCACCAGCGCGCGGCAGATAAGACTGGTAGAATCTACACGCAAAATAAATGCAATCAAACAAAAATTTACAAAGAGAATATATGTACTAAAATTGTTTCTCTGGAACTGAAAGATTTTAAATGTTGAGATGTGGGGGAGTGTCCTCTTAAATCAAATCAAATCATTATTTATTTGTCAAACATAGGTGAGTACATTGTGAGATCTTATGGTAAATAGTGTTAAGTGTTCTATGTTTTGTCAGCTAAGACATACAAATATTTGTGTTTCAAATTTATTACATTTAAGAATAATTATTAAATAAAATATACATGGAAAAAATTACAGTATTAAGAAATTGTTTCAATTTTTACAATATGGGGGATAGTTATAAATTGTCATTCAGGAACTTGTCCAATGTATAATAGCATTTCTGAAGTAGCAGCTTGTGTAGGGTAGTTTTGAATTTATTTGCTGGCAAGCATTTAATTTCGTTGGGTATTTTGTTGTAGATATGAGTAGTCCCAAAGAAACTTTTCTTCATCAATGCTGTTTTACATTTCACATGGCCCTGTGTGTTTAGATATTGAGTGCGTACGGGCCTTTTCTTTACTGTAGCCAGTTTTTGAAATAAATGTGAATTATTTTTTTACAAACAATGAAGTTTCTAAGGTGTACAAAGCGGGGAGAGGTAAAATATTGAGTTTTTTAAAATATGGAGCGCAACTATCTGTCATTTTTAACAGACACATCGATCGAACACATCTCTTTTGCATCTTGAATACGAGTTTTCGGTTTGTTGACTCTTGACTTCTCTTACTGACTGAAAACCGCCCCGTTTCTTTTCCTGCTCCAGGCAGGGCCGCGGTATGTTTTGGTTAAACTTGGTTTAAATTGAATAAAACTGTGGGAGAAGCATATTTCGGCACGGGCCAGACCTTATCGGCCGGAGTATTAACACGGCGTTACAGAAAACCGGCTTGAAGCAATTATTGTTATGGACTTGTAACTCATTTTGTTGCTGTTGTCCATGGCGCCGATTGCTTGTCACCAAGTAACCCGGCCCCCACTCTTAATTTTTTTTCCTAAGGTCATTAAACATCAGGCTACTCCTATAAGAAGCCGAGACGTAGACAAAACGCACAGGAGTAGCTACCGAATGTATAATATTAAATGAAAGAAAATATGTAGGTATTAAACGGTACTTAAGAAGAATAATTGTATGTACTTGCCTTCTCCATTCGGAATGACCACGTTGGAGACTGTCGGTGCTGAGGTAATGTCGAGATTTGCCAATTTCCTCTCAATCAGTGTGTGAGCGTCCTGTAAATATAATGCTACTTATAAATAGTATACAGACATTTGCATACATTATTTTTGAGTTTTATATAATCACATCTGGTAATACATTTTGACTGGACACCATAAAAATACAATATCGTCATATTAGTGTTATACTGAGCAAAAAAATTACTAAACGTAAATAAAATGTTGCGCAAACATTACTCAGGTTGCGCATGTTTTGCGCAATACGTGCAATTAGCTTTAGAAAAAGCCTTTATTATTATGTTTTGGTTTTTCGTAGAATGTGCAGTACTTACTGAGAGGTCGGTGCTGGTATCAGTTGATAACTCCGCCTCAGTCTCCGTGGACTCGCCCTAGCCGCGTTAAGTAGACAGTAGCAGGTTAAAGAGTGAGTATAGAATAAAGGTTATTTGCATAAGTTTGGTTAACTTTTACACTGCTATAGTATGATTATTCTAGTCATTTGGCAGTAGGTAGGTACGCAAAGACTAAGGTAAAAAAGATAAAAGAAAAATCCGTTTGTAACCAGCAAAATAGAAATAAAAACACAACACACACATTTAGACACTACAGCGGAAAATGGTATAGCGCAAAATACACAAATCTCACGAAGGAAAGTAATAATGTAGGGATTTCTACTTAATTTTGGGAATCTACTAGGCTTTCCTGAAATATGTAAACTGAAAGATATGCAGTGGAAAAGTTAACCGTTAAGAGAAAACTATAGAAATATGTATGTTGTGTTAAGTAAGTAAGTTAACACACGTCAATAGATAAATTTAAGAATTGAGATTAGCTTTATTAATACTGTATAGTATTGTGAGCACAAGAAAACAGGCTGGTTATGCAGCATGCTATACAAATAAAAGTTTATATAAATGTTTGTACTCACTCTACTCAAGGCGGCTAAGTCTGGTTGAGTGCCATCGCCTGACGGTACGTTGGGGCTCTTGAACTTAGAAGATATCTCATCTTGTTTGAAGCCTGGACACGGAAAAAAACCCAAATATATTACTTAAAAACAGTACGATAGCCATGTGAGGAATGATCTGTGTGTCTTTAGTTTTTTTATATATTTAACAGATGGCATTATTGCCATTATTACGTGAGGTCCTGATTGACATCGCGAAAGTTTTTTAGTTTTTTTGATAACAATTGGACTTATAAGACCTTTAGCTACATCAGCGCTATCTGGTGGCCAGTTAACCCATCTTGTGTCCTACCTTCTTTGGTCTACGATTGAAATCATTTTTTTCTTACAATGTCCTGCCGATTTGGTCTTTATGAAACAATTATCTCGTTTATTAAAAAAAAAGATAATAAATACAACAACAGCTACTTCTTACCAAGTAAATTAAGGACTTCAGTACGGAACGTAGGTAGGAAGTTAGCGCGAAGGAAGAACCACGTGTAGCGTTCATTTTGGTCTGTGGCCGCGTCACCTTTCTGCCGACAGTACCTATAGTGGGACACAACATGTATTATAGATTACCCTTTATTTCCATGTCATAAGGTTTAAAGTATATCCTCACATATTATAAAATAAGTTTTTTTTGAGGGTTCAAAACTGCTGAGTTAATAATAAAATTTATCTGTATTCGGTAACATCAAACATTACAGTAGTTTTGTGCTGAACTAATGGAGTGGAAGGGAGATAGATGCAGCACGAAACGAACTGAACCGATCATCCTTCATGCCGCGCTTTCGCTTGCGGAACGCGGTAAAGAGCGTAACGGAACAATGACGTCATGTTTTGCGTGCATGCAGCCCGTAAGTTTTTTGTATGGTTTCCATCCGTCCACTATAGAAATCGTGGTACGCTGTGTTGTTATATTGCGTTTCTTATCTTTTGTGTCTTAATTTAATCACTAAGCTATCGGATTGGGTAACTGTAGTTTGTAATAGATAAATGAAATCAAAAAAAAAATTACAGCTAAAAAGAGAACTTCGGCACCTATTGTTCTTCTATTGTGTCTAGAATTACCATGATTGTAAGGTTCATTAAATAATACCTAAGTTTATACTCACTCAGCGAGTCTCTCAAGTGCACCGGGGTCGTTACTGAGACTGGCCTCAAGTACCGCATCCAACTCAGACGCCTTTTCAACTATTTCTGGTTCACTGACGACCTGTTAAAACATATTATTATATGAGATCATTAATCTAATCAATTGAATGCGACAAAAAGGATAATGTAGTTTAAAATAATATTATATACAGTGTGGCCGACGTATCTTGGCGCGTTTGAAGTTAGCCGTTTGTCTGCGCAATGGATCGTTTAGGAACAAAATTATGTACTGCGCAGCTAATCGGCTAACTTCAGACTCGCCAAGATACGTCGGCCGCACTGTAAGTTACTTGACTTATTTTTTATTTTGGAATAAATTAAATATGTGATAGGTCGGCAGACGAGTAGAATTATTACCTGATGGTAAGCAATCGGCACCATTTATGGACACTCGTGCTACAAGAAAGGTTACGTGTGCGTTGGCGCCCTTCTGGGGGGTTAAGGTTGCGGAGATCGTAGGACCTGAGAGTGATGGGGGGAAGGGCCTCTTTCTGATAGGCGTTTTTTGATACAACATTTTATTAAGTAATATTTATTTACCTGACTAATGTAGACAAGTTTCTGTGTTCCAGCTTCTTGTGGACATTTTTCGAATGTGACCAGTTTACCACCAAACTAAAATAAATAAATATGTAAGAAAATACTTTTTATAATCGAGTGTGTTTAGACATACATTATACGGGTGTTTCAATACAATAAAATACTAAAAATATCAATACTTTTATTTGACTTGACGATTGATACTTAAGTTTCGATATTTTTAACAAACTTAAGTACTATGTCTAAATTTATGAAAAAAACTTTACTTTTTCTATTTGGATATCCATATTCACTTTGACAAATACTTAATAATGTGCTATAACACTCATAGGTATTAAAAAAATCCATTCTGCCGTAGTAACCTTGTAAATCACAATTTATTTTCGCTTATAATTCTAATTTCAAATTAATTTAAAATCATGGATTTCTCTTTTGTTCTAATAATCATTAGTTGTACATAGTTGTACAGAAGTAGGTAGTTGTATAAGGAGCGTGTAGTTACCGAGAACCTGGCGGCGCGGGGGCGACGCAGCCAGGCGGGCGGCGCGGGCGGCTGCGCGGGCTGCGCGGGCGCAGGCGGCGCGGCGCGCGCCACGGCCGGCAGCGCGCTGAACGAGTCCGCGCCGCCAAACGACTCCATTATGTTGCTCTGGTTGTGGCTCGACTGCAGGGGGAAAAACAAATCGTTTATTCATTCTCGCTTTCACTCGCTGCTCGGTTCCTACAGTTAGTAGCATAATATAATTTAGTCTAAAGCCTTCGTCAGTAAATGGGGTATTCAACAAAAAAGGGCTTTCTTCTCACAATTCAATGCCTTCAGTTTCAACTTACGTTGTCACTCGTTGATACCCATTACCTATTTATATTACGATCATTAATGAATAACTTTTGCTGTAAGAATGCAATGACCTATGGTATTAAAATAATAACTTAATTTATATAATCATCTTTTAAAAGATATACCTTTTTACAATTAATTTATAAGTTGCCTATATTTGGAATATCTATTCAAATTGTAGACCACATGTGTTCACTATAGATGCATTTAATTTGACTTCATTTAGTTCGTCTATTCGATAAAAAATGTCATACTCACAATCTCAGGCCTGGACCCGCCTAGCAGGGAATGCACAGCGACCTGTTGGTCGAAGGATGCTGTGACGAGCAGGCCCGGGTCCCGGGGACACCACGCCACGTCGAACACCCATTGTTGCTGCTGACTTATCTCTGTAAGGAGCTCACCACCCTGGGGACAAATACATACAAAATGACGAAAATACATAATTTTTAGCTTGACATTAATAATCTACATATTTTATTAATGTAGCCGTGATTGAAAAATGATTAACCAATGTGGCGCAATCAATTTATAATGATGAACCCCGGTGTTACTTGAATCTAGACGAACATACTCGAACTAATGATAAAAGCAACCTTACATATAATATTTCATAAGTTGGTACTTACGAAGGTAAGTATACAAAATTAGTCAATCTGGTATTTTATTTTTTTGCCGGCCTGACCAAGTGTAGAGATTATTATTCATGTAAGCAGCCTTTGCCTAAAATTGGGGCAGTTAGAGACTTATTATGAGGATGGTTATGTATTATCTGTATTAACTCACAGGTTTAGTATTGTTGGGGTTCCAGCAGAGTACCCTGCCGTCTTTGCCGGCAGACAGCATCAGGTCTGGGTCCTGCTTGCTCCAGGAGACTGACATCACGCCCTTGTGGTGCCCCTCCAACGTGACCAGGGGAGACGCTGCCAGTCTGATACAACGACACACTTTAGACTAAACACTTGAAATATATGCTATACGATAAACGACTTTATAAGTACTGAGGATAAGGGTTTCGGATATTTAAGGATTGGGAAGCAATGGGGAGAGGGGAAGGGATTGGGACTCCGGTAACCACACTCACACGGCGATTATTTGCTTATTATATTTTTTAAATTTTGTAATAATATATTTCTTTCTGAATAAGGTGACAATACATTAAATTTTGTCAGCTTAGTATCAAATTCCAGATTACGATGTGTCGCCAGCATTTTGAAAGGGAGTACATTATTTTATTGAAGGTTTGAAGCGCGTAGCAGTTCTGCGATACCAAAGGCTATTCATTTATTGCTGTTTAAGAACCAGTAATATTTAAATGGTATCTGTAATTAGACAATTTACCTCAAATCCCAGAGCTGTACGACGGGGACTTGGTCGTCTTCGGAGGCAATGCAGAGTTGTGTCGCGACGTTCGGGTGCCACGCTAGGGAACGCCATCTCGTGCGGGACTGAGAGTCACTGGAATGAGGAAAATTATTACTAACATTTACAAACGAAAAAAAAAAATATTCTATTTCATCATCATCAGCCTATAAGTGGCCACTGCTGAGTAAAGCTTTGGTTTGAGCATTAATCACCACCCTTGCTCAAGGGTTCTGTTCTATTATTGTAATAATACTCGTACAAATGTCGATAGCAATATTTCTTATTAAACGACTCAGACTCGACGCAAATAGCCTCACCTTAGTTTCATAATAGGTTCATTCTTCCTCAAATCCCAAACAACGCATCTTGTTGCAAATGTCGAGCCGAGAATGTGTTGTACCTGCCAATATTATAATTATAAAATTCCTGTTAAAATCTATAGTTTGAGTGAATAAACTTACTACCATCTATTATTTGAACTCGTATATAATATTTATTTATTAATTAATCTATTTATTCCACATATTTATTAAAATCACTCTAAAATTACATTTTTATATATTACTATAAAATAATGTCTATAAATATAAAAGAAGGAGCCAGCCGGCAGCGGGAGCAAGGTCCAAGCTACCGGTGGTTAGGGCTCTAGAGACAGGAACGTCCTCACAATACGTGCCGTTTCAAGGAGGACTGCCTTCTGTATGAAGCTCTTGATTCATCCGCCCAACGTCAGCTTCTTAAGGTGGTTGTCAAGGTTTTAATCGTTAATTCGTAATCTAATTATTACACCTAGTGGTAAGCTATGATAATCGAACTATAATAGTCTAATTGAAATACTTAAATGAGTTGAGTTTGATAAATGGAATTCGGAAAACAAATCTACGAGATAGAAATGAGTGTACAGGTTGCATAGATATCAATTTAAAACAAATCCAAAGTCATTAAGTAACAAACAATAGTGTTATCAATTGAACCAATCGACAACTTGGTGCGGTGTAATCTGCAGTTGACGACCAATTTAGTTTGAATGGCGAAAGTTCATCGACCGACACGCATATACGAGAAATAATACAAGTCTACACATAATATGCGATGTCAACACTATTCGTAGCCAATGTATTCGTATTATAAATTCACACAATTTAGTTAACCGACTTCTTGTACTCTGTAGAAAACACAAGGCACAAATCCACCGCATCCTAGGGGCATTAAGGACGTCTGGGATTTCGCAGTGGAACAAATCAGATATCATTACCGAATAGGTTTCCTTTCATTTCCCTCAGTATTCTTAAGGTAGGAAACAAAATGGCAGGTCTTTAACGGCTTAGAAGTCCGCACAAATGGGAAAAAACAGGAGTTTGGCATTTGTCATACATAACAGAAATTTGTCTAAAAATTGTCACCTGTTGATTCCACGCCAGCCCCTGTACATGGTCGTAAGGCTGGTTCCTATTGCCGGGCGCCATTGGCTGGCTCGTGTTGTTCAGGTCCCATATGAAGATCTCGCTCTCCGACGCTCCGGACGCGAGCAAGTTCTTTTGATATGGATTTATGTCTAACGCTGATACATGACCTGTTGACAAAAATATCAATGCTTAGTATAAGTAATTTGTTTTATTATTGAACCGTTAGCATCGAAAGGGATGCTATTTGCTTATTTCCTCAAGCCAATAATAACAAGCAATTCAGTCAAGCTAGTTGGACTGCACGGTTAGTGCGGTGGCTGGGCAAAAGTGTCGCGGGTTCGATTCCTGCACGGAACAACTCTTTGTGTGATCCACAAATTGTTGTTCCGGGTCTGGGTGTGATGTGTAAGTGAATTTATATGTTTGTAAACGAACCCACGACACAGGAGAAAATCCAAATATGGGGCAACATTTTTTTAACGAAGAGGAAAAGGAAGCCAGTCAAGAGTGATGCCATGACAAATGCAAATTGAGATTTAATAACAGAAAATTTACAAAAAATACTGTCGGCAGTGCACGTTTTCTGGCGATGATGTACATTCATAAATTAATGTGTTCATATATGAAATATGTATATAATAAAAAATATCATTCTTCTGCTACATTGCAGCACAATTTAATGATAGAAAAGAGTGTGATTTTTGTTTTCACACATACATAGAACAAGTTGTCTGTAATGCTCATCATAATTATTATACTCCATTAAATAACCGCATCTATTGTGTCATGACGTCACACAAACTCCACTGGACAGTTACTGTTCCTATAGATAAGGAGTTATCACAGAGTTTTTAACATATATACAATACAGGAGCTTACAGATAACGTCTCCACCGAATTCCGAATATAATAACATAAGAAGTAAACTCTGCTAAAATCAACACTTTGACTAACGGAATAAAGTCAATTTTAGTTCTTTCTTCATTTATTGATATAAGCTTGATTGGTGTAGCTATGTAAATAATTGGATAAAGAATGTCTTGAGTGAAACTGCGGGCGCATAGATTACGTGGTGACTGTTTGGTTAAATTAAATTGGTTGTAATGTTTGCCCTAATTAAGCTTTGATATGTTATGGTGCGACAGTTGATATCTGCCGTATGTTAAGTTCTATTTGAATGAATAATTCGTTTTATACATATACACAAAAGTAATGTCAATTTCACGGTCGGCATGTGGTGCCTGGGTAACCGGCTGACGCGCAACGTTTTGCGCGTTCGTTTCCCCACAGACCAACTCTTTCGTAAAAAACTACCGTTTCGGGGCTGGGTTGTCATGTGAAAGAGAATTTGTATGTTTGTAAACATGCCAACAACACAAGAAAGAATCCTAATGTGCGCTGACATATATGTTGAGTTGGTATTAATTAAACTATACATTTTATTTTACATACAATGTTATACTACTGCTTCAACACATATCAACCATCCAGTGTGCATTATCTCTCATAAGTCATAATAATATATAAAAATGAATTGCTGTTCGTTAGTCTAGCTTAAATTCGAGAAAGGCTGAACTGACATGGCTCATTGTGGTCTTGAAATGTTGCTGGATATATGGGGAAGGTGTAAAAGGTCTGAGAATAGAACTTAATTAAAGAAAAAACATTATATACGAGGCGGGACGACTTTTGCTGGGACAGCTAGTCAAGAATAACAAAAGCTAATTATTATGTTTTATTTTTGACGATACATTATCTGTAATTTGGGACTGGTATAAAGTCAATCATTTATAAATTCTCATAGAATGTTACAAGAACATGTAACACTTTTTAAGTTCAAGCCTTACTATCAACAAGATTATAAAACATATGAAGTGCCAGGTTTGCATTGAACTTCACTGTTACTACAGCAGCAGCAGAAACTTTTCGGTTGTTGACCCATTTCACACATTGATAAGGATTCAATTTAATGTATTGACTGTCCAGATAACAGCCATAAAAATTATCTTGTTACACTAACTTTTTAGATTGTATCTATACTGTTCTTTTTAACATAATCATTGACACTTTGGCACAGTTATAATTGCTATGTGGCAGTCTAGCTTTTTGAGTTAAATAGGAAGTTTAATAATATCTCAAAATATCATTACATGCAGTTTGTGGACTTGTACAAATTAAGGATTTTATATTCCAATAAGAATGTCGAAACCAATTTGAGTGTTATGAGATTATAATAGAGATAATAATAAACTTACCACTGTGTTTAGTGCTGCTGCCAAGTAGTGCATCAGGGGCATTTTGTAGCAGCTTGTCAGCGCTGTAAAACTGCAGGAGTCCTCCATCACAACCTCCAACTAATACACCAGCTCCAGACCATACTATCTTTTGGAACCTAAAAATAAAACATAACTTATTGTTATTAAGCTTTGGAGATGCTAATAGGAATTAAAAAAAAATAATACTTGTTTGTTTCTAAAATTTTACTTATTTCTTATAGTTGCTTATTTTTATGAACAAATTCACCTTGCATTTCGCTTAGCACAAATAAAATATTTTAATATGAGTACCTAAGCACTAGCACAAACTTTCAATCATAATTTAAGTAAACAGATTTTGTTTTAATCCAATACACAAAAAAGCATTATTTCACTTCTGATATTATGTGAAGTTTAAAATAAGTTAAGAGTATTTTTCTTTTATTTGTAAGGGCCTAGCATTTAGCTACTATTTCGCCTAGTGGTTAGTGATGATAATACATTGTCATACTTAAATTAATGTACAAAATAAGTGGACTTTTAAACAGTAACTACTCACGGGTTATTAAAAGGTTACATATATTATAACTATCATTAGCAATTGTTTTTTGAACAAAATTGTTAATAGCTTTTCATGTTTCTTTTTTAATGTATTCACAATGCATTTGTAGTCATTAGATGTCTTTGAGTATGGCAGTATTTTACCTTGTTATCAAAAAATATTACAGATATTACAAAAAATATTACAGTTGAGACACAGGCTCAAAGTAATCAAAGCTACACTGTAAGGCTGGTTAAAATAACAGTAGGTATTACCAATGTAAATTATTTACATTGCTTACTGGACAGATGTTTGTGAAAAGTTTAACAATGTTCATAAATACTCTGTTTACATACTAAAGTGTAAATGAAGATTACAATACATGTAATGAAGTGACTGCAATATTTTTTGTGAGAAGATTTTTTTCTAATTTTATTGTATATTTTATAATATTTATTCTGTAAACTGTATTATATTTCTTACTGTTTGCCTGTTGCTTATCCTATAGAAAAGTCTTTTGAAGTCATAACAGCACTTACATAACATAAGAAAAATACAGTATTTTTAAGTCCATCTTCATTGACAAAACTGTGAACTATTACCTACTTGAACCTTTAAGTCATTAAGATATTTACCTTATATTCAACAGAGTCGCTAGGCATCATTTACTACACATACTACACTACACACATGTGTAGGAAACATGTATTGAACATAATTAAAGCAAGGTGAACTTCTACCAAATAGGTATGGATTACTAATCCCATAATCTTACTAATATCATTTGAGTTTACTCACTTGTGTTCTGTCTGCAAACTGGATTTAAGCTCTAAATCAAGTCCAGGGTCTTCCAAGTTCAAGGAATAGAGCTCCAAGTAAGAACTTGAGCTGAACGAAGAGTCGACCTGCTGCGCTGCAGAGCCGGCCGCGATCGTCACCGGGTAGTGGTCAGCCGGCGACCAGCACACATTCACCGTCCTCTTCAGCTCCTTCACTTTCATCTTCACAACACTGGCTCACTATAATAAACACAAACTAACACTGAAAACCACCGAAAAACTGTTTTATTTACTAAATTATGTCACAGAATTGGAACGCTTCCCACTGCAAATTAAGACTTAGAACAACTTTACACGCTGAAGTCTATGATAGAATAATATTTAAAATGTATTTTTGTAGAAAATATAACAGCGTTTCAATTAGAAAATTATATATTTACCATAAAAACACCAACTTGGCACTTCCAACGTGGCTGACGTAAATATTCTTGATTTTATTTGACAGCTGAGAAGATCAAGTGACATGACAGTTCGTTCGGAAACTTGTAAGAGAGACACGTCATTTCATTTGCGTTTTCGCCATACAAAAGCTTAATAATGCACACGTTATAAAATATTATTATTGCCAAGTAATGTATTATTAGAAATAGGGTGGAATCAATTATTCTGATTATTTTATCGAAAATTTCTACAAGTATTTTATCAAAGCGGATAATAACACCCCTATTACACTAAAGAGCCAATAATAATGATTTAACAAAATGTTCCCATAGCAACCTTTACAACGTTAATAGTTCAGAATTATTTTATTTTATTAATTGTTTTTGCATTTATTTCAGAAAAAGCACGATAAAGTTTATAATTAGCCGCCTCATTTGGTTTCTGGCCACCAAACAACTTCTAGCAAAACAGAAAAAGAAAATGTGTCATCTTTCAAAATAAATCAAGACTGTAAATAGAAGAAAGTTATAAAAAGAAATAAAATCATGTACTTTCATAATCATTTACCATTATAAAAGGAGAAGATCGCTTTGAATCACTTCTATAGCATTCTGAGATCTATTTATTCTTTATCAAGTAACCAGATAACTATTCTACAATGCCGATTGTTATGGGCAAGAGTGAATGGGATCGTCTCCATGAATGGACGAAAACCGACCGAGAAGATCCTGAGGTGGTACGACGGCGAGAGTACATCAAGTACTTAGATACTACAAGCCGTCAAATGACGAAGAGTTGGCCAAACTCCTTAGAGGTAGGTACAAGTACCTATTAGTTAAACGTTTTATGGATTTAAAAGTCACGAAACCTATTTTTTATATTTAATAACAAAGGTACTAATATACAAGTTTAGCAACTGCAAGCATAGGAGAGTCAAACTTTGACACGAATGGGTCGACTCAACCAGAGTAGAACCAGATACCATGGCCTCACAGAAAACCAGCGTGAAACAACTACAGCGTTGTGTTTTGCCGTGTATTACTGGAGGCCCAATCTTTCCCCTCCCCCAATCCCATAATCTCCGAAATCCTAAACTCACGCATTACGCCTCTGGTGATGGAGTTACGGGGCAAACGCAATAAAACACCGCTGGCTCGGCCAAAGCAGGAGTAAGAATGGGGGGTTTTTAGTCAGTAAGAGTCTGACACTCCCTCCCGTCAGACCCTGGGCGGGAGAAGTCATTTGATGATTTTCCCCTCACATAAAAAACTCCTCTGGTGTTGCGGGTACCCATTGATACCCATTGCGCTAATTGCTTACCATTGTGAAATTCTGTTCTGAAAAATCTGTTCGATTTTTTCCCATTCTAAAAAATCTGACCACCAATGAAGCAGTTCCTGTCAAAAATTATAGCAAATTTAAACAATACCTTAATACAATAATAATAATATTTAAACAATAGTAATAAAATTTATTAAATTATAATATATAAAACGCCGCCCTACGGCGTAGAGCTCATCCTATTTTTCGTCGAATACCTATGTTTTATATTGTTTCAAATGTATCATATTTGAAACAATATTGATCGCAGAAAAATAAGTAAAAGGTAATAAATTTTTTCCCAATAAGAATGTGAACAAACGCAACGAAGAGCTGCGTCAAGCCCGTATTCAAGTCGCGGAGCAAGCCAACACCAAATTCTACAACCGATACCTAAGGAAGAAGAAGGAGGAGCAGGAACGACTCATGTATTCCGCTAGAGACGTGGTCTTCAAGAACAAGGATGCACCGAAACAATTACTCAGGTGAGGCACTTAGTCTCAGAACTAGTCTTAACTTAGGCACACTAAGTAAATACCTACTACCAGACACAGTAATTTGGACCATTTTCATATGGTGTTGGTTTGGGGGCGAAGTCTATCTCCAGGTAGGTACCTACCTTAGCTTTTTCGTTTCACACAAAGTGGTGCGTTTGTAGAAACGAAAGTAGGTACATACGCCACCAGATACCTGGCACCGGTAAGCTACGTTGTCTAGTTATCAAGTCTGATCACATTTCCTTTAAACCCTTAGTGCCGTAATAGAAACTGCGATTCAGAAGGAGCGTGCAGAACAAGTGAAATTTTTGAAAGCGCGGCGGGAGGAAATGGCTGCTCAGAAAAAGCGAGACGATGACGAAGTCGTGAGGCAGGCCAAGGAGTGGGAAGAACTTGTGGAGCTCAGGAAGCAGAGGAGACGAGAAGTCAACATTAAACATCAGCGGGACATCCTTGATCAGTGAGTTTTTGAAGTTGATCAAAAATAATTAAACCAATTAGGATAATTTGGTTACTTTGCCCTTCTTTGACTTTGAAGAGGCCATTAATAAGCATTATTACCATTTAAAACCGTTGATGGCTGTGATGACGATGAAGATAGTTTCATTTGCGGACTTTCCACGTACGTAATCCGAATGTTTTATTTCGCGATTTGTGCCACATTACTATTACATTAATTCTGTACCTATTTGGTTGGAAAACCACTAAGTATCTATGACTCATATGTTATTCGTGAGTTGTTCTTGTTCCACAGGGCCCATGAAGTTGCAGAACGTAACAGAATTGAGTACGAGACGGAACTGAACCTTCAGAAGATTGATAACTTAAAAGCTAATGAGCAGATGGAAGCTATTAAAGAATTTGAAGAGCAATTTGTGAGTTGTGTACCTAAAGTTGTTATTACCTATGTTGCATGCTCTTTGCTCTCATTCCAAGCAATAAATAGATAGATAAATTAATAATTATTTAATGCATATATCCCAAACAAATAAAAATAATAGATTTTAAACAAAATAATGGAACCCAAAAAATTGCAGTCTTGAGACGATTTTGAGCCGAGAATTAGTACCTAATAAAGTTTTGTAGATGAAGCTAATGTAAAGTATCGTGCCTTTTCCTCAGAAATCGGAGGAGAAAGCTCGCATCTTCCGAGATATAGATCGTTCCCGAAAAGAAACTATGGAAAGGAGACGCGAGCAGGAAGCTCGGGACAAGATGGACGATCGTTTGATGGAAGTGTTACTCAAGTCTCGCTGCAGGATTGAACAAAGACGGAAGCAAACCGAAGCTGATGTAAGTATATGATACATTTCTACGGCCCTCTCTTAACAGAAGATTGTGCATTATCAAAAAAGCTCATTTACTAATATAGTTGTTCGTTTAGTTAGGTAACCTACAATGTCTTTGGCACTGCGTAGATATGTAGCCTACACCACGGCGATAGTGTTGAGGAATTGTTCAGATAGATCTCCGTCGCATATTTTCGCCATTGACCCACGCGAAAATACTTTCATTCGCGAAACTTTCTGCCTAGTACAGCAAAACTTTGGAATGATAATCTTTCGCCGGGGGTAGGCATTTCAGAACGATACGACCTTCTTAAAAGAGCGGTGGCGTCCTTGGCGGTGCTGGTCACTTACCATTAAATAATCCGTCTGTTCGTTTGCCATCTATTAGTTACATAAAAATAAGTTGATTTATATACAATACGCCCAGAATTTCGAAACAATCCTAAGTAGTTATAATAAATCTTAGGTGAAAAACGAGAAGCTTCGTGTATTGGAGAAGATCAGTCAACGCTTGGAGTCTGGTGACGCGGCTCGCGAAGCTAAAGAGCAGGCTATGTTGGAGAAGGCTGTAGCAGAGAAGAATGCTGTGTGAGTTTTCATTATAAGTACTTATTTGGGCTATCTTAATTCTCTGAGAAAAATGTCGTAACAATCTCCAATCTCACGAGGTCAATCTCTTTAGTAGGCATTGTGAATGGATTGTAGACTGGATGTTGGTAGATCAGATACCTAGTCTCTTATACTTACCACCTTACCACTTACCCAATAGTGGACTCAAAGACAAAGACTTGCGTTAGTAAGTAGGTACTAGGTACACTTACCTGAGTTATAAAAGTGTTACCTTTCATTTCAACTTTGTAAATACCATCTCTATGCAGTTCAAATGGTCGCTATACTTTTATTTTATTTTCTCCATGTAGTGACCAGGCTCGTCGCGACGCTCAGCGTAAGAAAGAGGAGACTTTCCGTAAGGAGAGGATGGAGAGTCGCGAGCAATTCCTGCGGGAACAGGAGCAGAAGCTGCACGAGTTTAACAATACGCGCCAGTGGGACATTATGAACAGGTCAGTCTTTCAAGAAAAAAGAAAGTTTAGAGAAAAAGTCATTGAGCCTTTAGAGGTATGAGAAACAGGGTGGATAGTTCCTCATCCTCCATTGAAAAAGGAGGATCCTCCGACCAGGCGAGGTGTTCGTGCCTGGCGGGCTACTGCCCGACAGTTGTTGTCGGGATTTTTCTATTTTGCTTATTAGCGCGTAAACTTCAATTGCGCGATGTAGAACCTGTTACTCCATCTGTTGATTATTGTTTCTCCATTTATGCGATACTGCGTGTGTGCGATAGATGTCGCTACAAGCCATTGTAACTTTTGGATTACCTAGATAATACATGATGTGATCTGTGATTTATGTCTTTGTTATGAAATATGTACACTATACTTTCAGGTTCAAAAACGTTGAAATTTATCAGGACTTCCAAGAGAAACTGCAAGAAGAGAAAAAACGTAAGATTAAAGAGTACAGAGAAGAAATACTTAGATTGTGGGTAAGTGTTTGGGTGTTGTAGGTCTTGTATAGACATTTTGATAACATAATTATACAAGTTAAGATTCCTAATAAACAGAGGTGAATTAGTAAGTATTGGTAGTAGTGCTAGGAACCTTAATACTTTTAAGTAGTAACTAATCTGCGATTCCGGACCCCATAACAAGCGTGGGGAAGATCGTAAACCTACCTCGTCAAAAAAACCCTTGACGCCGCGTACGATTGGTGCTGTGGTTGGGCTGTTGCGAGACGTGTCGCCAGTTCGATTCTCGCGCGGAATAATGTTTTTTGAGATTCACGCTTGGACGTTTTATGTATATTTCACCATTAATTTTGTATGTTCCTGTAAACGGACCTACTCCTATTGTTTTTTATGAATAAAGAAATGTTGCTCCTTATTCAGAAAGAACGAGTGGATCGCGAGACTAAGGAGCGTGATGAGTCGCGCTACTTCTACGGCGAGCTGGCGGAGAAGAAGCTGAGAGACGCTGACAACAAACTGCTGACACACGCCGCGCACCTACTGCAGGAGGCCAGGGAACACGGCCGGCCGGAGTACGCGCTGCATAAAGCCATCGATGTTAGTCTGCTTATTACATTATTATCAATACAGCAACAATGCCTTCCGTTACCCTGCCCTTGAGTTTGGCGTTCGACACAATTATGTCATTGGGCACTCTGATCGGCCTACTGTAAGTTAGACAGAGTGCTAATACGCGGTAACGTTTCGGCCGCGTAAAAAAAACTGGCACTAGTCACTCAGGCGTTCTCCAGTCATACCTAAATGATACACCTATATTATCTAGGTAATGTGCACACGTTAACAAGCGTGGTGATTGATGCTCAAACCCATTTCCTTACACTAATTTACTTCCAGAATTACTGCAACCTGTACCGCCTGTACCCGATGCCGGACCTGCCGGCGTCGCTGCAGGAGCACATGCGCGAGTACGCGGCGCGGGACGGCTCGCGGCCCGACCCCGGCTACCGCGAGCCGCCGCCGCCCGCGACCCGCGCGGCCCCCACCGCGCCGCCTCCCCCCGCCGACCCAGGGAAGCGGGACGGCTTGCACGCTGTCGCCGGACCTGTACGTACTTCTCTTGTTGTTTCAGCATTATGAGTAGTTCAAAATTTCAACATTAATGCTGTAGTCAGCAGTCCTACTCCATTCTGTCGAATTGCTTTTTGTAAATTTTATAGCTTTCATAGAGTCGAAAATCCAATGAACAAAAATTGACCGATTGCACTGATTGTAACTTACGTATTTGCAACTTTAAGTACGAATAAAAGGCTATTTTTTCTTTAGTAAATACCATTATCCACCATTTCGCACTTTATTTTAATATTTCAGCCTGCTCCCCCTCCGGTAGAGAAAAAGGAGAAAAATGAAGATTACAAGAGATCTGCGCCAGCAAATGGCCTGCAGAGGAGGAACTTAGAGGTAACATATCTATCAACTAAAATATGTAATGAAGTATTTTAGGAAATTGGCCATATGACACTGTATTTTCTGTTCCAGCAAACATTTTCGTTGCCCCCAATCCCGGTAGTACCGTGCACGACCGAAGCGTGTCGGTGTGAACTTAAACCAGGAACGAAATGAAACGACTGTATTTTTTACAAAATATTTACTTTTTATTATCATAATTATCAATTTACTTCAGAATGTGTTTGTCAAGTTAGACCTCTCACACATTAGCTGCCTGGACTCGCGACGGTGCCTCGCACGACCTCGAACCTCGACATGAAATACTTTAATGTTGAGGTTGAAATATAGTAGCGACGTCCCGCCGGCCGCGGGACCAGGTCGCGACTGTGCGCGAGGTCTGGGTAGAGAGCTTTTATATGGCACGAGTGATGATATCCAAGTGTGACTAGATAATTGGTGGTGTCAAATTGTAAGTGAAACGTAGTAAAGCTTGTCTCGGTCCTAAACAGTGAGTTTAACTTAAAATATAACAATTTTGAAACTAATACTAGAACTTAATTTACCTAAATCTTTGGTCGCAATGAGTGTAGACACGTACTTTTATAATTTGCGAAAATATTTTAATATATTAGTGAAGATTCGTGGCTTATATGTAGTTTGTGCTTACACTGTTGCATATGGCGGGTAAGTCGAACAGATTTAGTAAGAATCAGATCTTTGATAATTTAGAACATGGTAACAATCAATGTTTAAGTGAAGTAAAATGCTTTTCTATGTAGAGACAGCCTGGTCACCTTACCCACCAAGTGTAACAGTGGTACTCTCGTAACAGTGCAGTATAAACAAGTGGACCTAACAATATCATGTACTCGCTCTCGCATACATTGGAATCGCATATGAACACAGCTTTCGTAATACTCTCGGTTTGCTTTGGCTTACACAATATTGTCTAGCGTTACAACTAATGCTATTGTTTTACGTCAAATTACATAAAACTGATTTACTATAATTATGAATTTCCTTATGAAAAAATGTACCAGACACATTAAAAAGAAATAAATACGTCAAGAGGACGCACCCACAATAGCATTCGTTTTACAATCAAACAAAATAATTCTAGACAGTTTTCTTGTTGTCCGCGCGACACTTGATTATGAAAAAAGGAATGTTTTAAAATACGAATGTGTATGCAATATAATTGTATTTGTAAAATGAACTTTATTTTTATAACAATAAGAATGAAATGAGAATCTGAAGAAAGTAGTATATGGTGTATATTGGATTGAGGTGAAGTTGAAGTGTTGCGCGAACAAACAGTTGTCGAAACAATTAGACGGAACGTTCGTATCGGTCGTGACTTCGTGTCGCGCTTACAACTAACTTAAACTAGCTTGTACTGTGCGTTCGTATTATTAACTAAGGATTTACGTCAAACGTTACACTAATATTATGCTAAACATTATTATTTATAAGATGGCATGAAGTTGTGCTGGCTGGCCTAGCCCGTGGTACTAGTACAAGTTGCTTATAATACTGCTTCCTATGAGCGCCTTGCAGCAATCATAATTTTACACAAAGGCACTAGTTTTTCAGAACAATAACAGTATGAAAAAGCAACGTTGATAAGCTAACATCACATTTATCACACAAGTCATAAAGTCAGTATTAGAAAACGTCGAGAGATAAGTAACTTGCCTTGTGAAAATACGAGTTCAGCTTTAGTTACAATAAATTATATAAAAAACAACAAATTTATATTCACAAAGGTACCGTACATATGTGTCGGAAGGTAAGGAATACTTAGTCTACATAATGAGGGCCATTTTCGTTAATGTAACTAAAAGGCTGGTACTAGTAAAATATAATATTTTATCTCTATCTATTCGTAGTAAAGTAACCCTAATAATACGTCAAATTTTCGTGTCAAAAATACATACATCTAAATATTTATTTACAAAAAGGGGTACTACGGTTAACATGAGTCGGGCAAGATTCGATAAGGGGCATCTTCTCCTCCGTCTAGCACTCACTCGAGGGAAACTAATAGGCGGAGTAGCAACAACCGAAACATGGAATTAGGTCCTCCGAATTGACTCCTCCATTCTAACGTGGACGCGTGTACTTTATACAGTCATGCCCACGCCAGAATGAACGGAATCATAATACATAACGTTATATCTAAACAATAAATTAAGTAACACAAATAAACTAATGAATTTGGCACTAATCTAATACTTAACGCTAACCTGGCCATGAAATGCATTGTACACAATGAAAAATTTAAATGCTTTACATAATATTCAATCAATACTCAATGCTTTATACGTCATCGTTTAACAGTTACGCAGAATTTGTCATGAGATTAAAATAATTAAATTAATTCTCAGATCATTAAAAAATTGGTAGAAATATTGACTTCGAGGTTTGTAGCACGTTAGTGCATAACTGCATTTCTAGTAACAGTCAGTTAATACAATTTCATCACTCACACTTGTGAAAATTGATATAAAACCCATATAATTGAGACTTAACATGTCTGTAAAAGACATTGTCTCCGTGGGAGGCGTGTGGCACTGCGGTGCTGTGTACGGCGTGACATGTACGTGCGAGGGGGGGAGCGGGCGTGACGTCACGGCCGGCGTCAAGGCACGTCACGCGAGGCTTCCATGGCGTGGTTGAGGCAACGACTCACTAGCTCCAACTTGTTCAGGTACGCGGCCGCTACCTCGCCGCGCGGGGAACTGTCGAGCGGTATCGAAATAAGTAAGCTGATCTTTGATAATTTTTTGTTTCCTAAATTAAATAGCTTACCTGAGTATGAATGGATCGTTTTGTGGTGAGTTTGCAGTGTACGGCGATCTTCTGACGAAGTCTCCCACTGAGAAATAGATTTAGTCAATACATTAGTCTCTTAGTCGGCCAAGAGTAACTGAGATTAGATTAATATACTGTAAAAATACGAGTAAAGTGTAAGATGCTTTATATGGTGTGTATCTTACGTCCAGGCGAGGCGGGCAGGTTGAGGCGCATCTCATGTTTGAGCACTCTCCGCGCCAGCGTGTCGGAGGGCGCGCGCGGCCCCCCCGCGGGGACGTGCGTGCGGCCCTCCGGGGGCGTGTTGCCGCCGTACTCACTGCTACTACAAATTCAAATTAATTACATTAAATAAATAAGTATAGAAGAGCCAAGCTTCCTTTCTTTTCTAGCTTCACAGGAAACTTGCATAAGACAACAATTGCGTTGTTTCGTTGTATAAGATTCTTCTATAGTCAGAATTTTAATTCGATTCCTGATTTGACATGACCACTGTCATTTTGTGAAATAATGATACCACATATAACAGTGTAGTGATGAACACAAAAATTGATAAACAATCAGTGAAACAGTTTCAGGAAGGCATTCAAAAAATTACGGCTACCGAATGGTCTAAATGCGTATCCCATGTTTTCAAAGAAAAGGAAAAAATGAGTAAGCTAGATATGTTAATTGAGAATAAAAATCACAGACACAATTCATAATAAATGTTACAGAAAGTAACAGCGATAGCGATAGCGATGACGGCGACAATTTATAAAATGTCTGTTTTATTTGTCATTTCCTACATGATCACATTTTTTATTAATTTCACACAAAATTACAAAAGAAAAGTCTCAGATCGTTAATTAATTGTTAAAACTAAATTATCGGTTCAGAAATATTTTATTTCCTGATAAACTTAGTTTACGAGAGTAAATTTATAAACGTGAGGAATCGATTCAGAAATATTCGAATTCCATATCGAATAATTTCGGAACGTTAGTGACGTATTTATTACGTGTCATAACGTTGCAACACTGTAATTGTCAATTCTGGAATGGAATTAAAATTCCAAGTATAGTTCCCTAACCTTTGGAGGTTATACAACGAAGCGATAGCCCAAAAATGTAGTTCGACTGTTCTGGTATTACAAGTGTCCATGGGTGGCGACGCTTGCTTAACTCATGGCTATGGCGCGCCAGCTACAATATAGTTTATAGTTAGCCGTCTACATCACACAAAACTGTGTGACACAAAAATATCCCTACTCGAGTTTGATACAAGAGAAAAACATGGCACTATGTCACGTAAAGTGTTCACTTATAAGTAGTTTGGTGAGAGAATATCGTTAAAGTAAGTATACTGACGCGGCAGGCAGCAGCGAGCGCGCGGCCAGCGTCCGTACGTGGTGCCGGCGCCGCACCAGGAACGCCATGCGGACCATCGCCACCGCCACCATCGCCACGCATCTGGAAACACAATTATAACATTATTTACTTTCTATATAAATAACTACTTTACTGTACGGCTGTTGCAACGTGTCGTGGGTTCGGAAAAACTCTGTGTGATGCACAAATTGTCGTTCTAGTGCACGACATTGGAGAAAATCCAAGTGTAGGGCAATGTATAAAAGAAAGATATTAAAATACAAGCTGGTGAAGACCTTATAAAAAGTCTTTCTAGTACTTTACAATACAATTTTTTATTAATAATAACCTAAACTAATAATAAGAGTGGTGTATCAAAAAGCCAAAAAAAAAATGTTAACGCGGACTATACTATAGGTCGCTTGAAGTAGACTTGTCCTAAAAATAAAGCCCGTTTTTAGGTGCAAAGGCCCTCTCTTTCTAAGTGGAATGACAATTTCAAAAAAAATGCTGGCAGTGGTTGAGTACTATCTAAGCTAAGATCTAAATAAGTGGTATTATGGGATGATAATGACGTAGGTAAACAAGACTTACTTGAATCGCTTCTTTCCCTTGCTAACTTCAGGCGCTCTCAACGCAGGCGGTCGGAGGTTCTTCTCAAACTCTGTGTACCCAGCCAAAACTCGCTGCAAGTACCGCTTCTGCCAGACGAGAGCTTTACGACAGCTCTCTAAACGGAGACAACGACCGTGCAAGTAACGTATCTGAAAATAAAACAATAACAAAAATATTTTTAAATACAATCGCTCAATTATTATTCAATAATCATTTACGCCCGGTTCCTATAATTGAGAAACGATCCGTTTTAATTACGAATAGTAGTTTTATATACGACTCGTAAGCTAAAACCGTTTCTATAATAAACGTCTCGTCGTGCAACTTACTGACGGTTTGCAACTAACGGATATCGGTAAGCGAATTGTATGGCGATTGATGAGCGAGATCTATGGTGTCTGTGGTGTTCCTATAAATATTTTAACCGTCAGTAGACGGTCAAGATAACTATTCGTAATGTCATTTGGTCGTAATGTCATACAACGACGATTCGTTAAATATAGGAACCGGGCATTAATGAAAAAAGTTTCCGAACCAAAACAAGAATAAAAACTTTTCTAATTAAAAATTAATACCGTAGACGCCTTGAAATTTAGAACATCACGGTGACGTGACATAACGAATGTCGCTGGGATGTGACATAAAAATATATATTCCGCGTTTATAGTTTTACATTTATTTTATATAACATAAATTCCGTTGTTTTATAATGAAAACGCAGTAAATGGCGGGCGTCAATATGGATGCGCCAAAGAGCGATATCCCGAAATTGCCGGATATGGTGTAAGTAGACATTTCGTGGACAAGCCTGGTTGTGCACGGCAGTGAGAGCTTGGACTAATGACATTATGTTTCTGGTATGTTAATGATGAAGGGCTGTCGTGAAGGCACATTGAAGTAGTATCCATTATTGCAGCATGTGCGGGGACCATCCGTCTTTCACGAAGACGGAACTCAACGTCAAAACAGAGATGGTGGACGAGAAGGACAAGACGAAAGATAAATCTTTGTCCTATACTAAAATAATGCCAACGGTACGTGTCTCCTGTTTGTTGCTATACGAACCTAATTGCCTATATATGGTTGTCTAGACAGTTGCTAGAGACTAAATTAAACACTGTTTAAGAGTTGAATAACGATAATAGTTAGTCATTGAATTCATCGAATCCCAAGTGAACAACATAATTATAGTTACGCGGGTATTAACGCGGAAATTTATTATATGAATACTTTGGTAGGCTTGACGTTTCGACCCGGTTGCAAGCAGACTGTTTGTGACCACGACCTGTGCAACCGCGTTAATACCCGCGCAACTATATGTTGTTAATATGAAACGCGAAAGCTTAAAAGTCTAGTATTGTTTTTTTATGTATGTGTCTCGATTACCACGATTGAAAAGTTAAACTTAAGTGTGGAATCAAGCAATATGGTCGATTGAGATTGATAATTTTGCAAGTAAATGAATATTAATTATGGATTGTGTGCATTAGACGTCTCGCACGGAGCGGTCGGAGCGCTTGGAGCGCGGCGACCGCGAGTCGTGCAGCTGGGCGCGCGGCGCGGCCGGGGCCGGGGCCGGGGCCGCGTCGGCCGGGTCGGACCATGCGTTGCGGGCGGGAGACGCGCGGCGCCGCGGTCGCTCGCTCGATCCCTTGCAGCGAACGGATCTCAGTCTGCACGACGTCGGGAACCGCGCACTCGTACAAGGTAATACCGGATTACTTCACCTTATACTATCATCTGCATATAGCCTACGGAGTCGTACTACACTTCACGCAATACACTAGTAAACTTCTTCAGACAATAAAAGGCAAGTAAAGGTAAGGCAAATGTTTATTTACTTTTTAAATTCAATGTTCAAACTGTTGCATTTATTCCTAATCCTTTGATACTTAATGTTGTTTTAAGCTTTTTTCATGACTTGTATGGACTGTCGGAATATAGGCTTCCATTGATCGAGGGTTATATTCAGAAGCGGAAATGTTGTGACTGATATAATATGTACGCTGATGTGGTACAGCGGCGCTGGGCAGTTTCCGTTGGCCGCCGTACTTGGTGTGTGTGTGGGTGTTGGTGCTGGTCCTCACGCATGTGTTGCACTGCCTCGTCAGCATGCTGGACCGCGCGTTGCCTGCGCTCAGGTACTCTTGTTTTGTACTTGTCATCTCTACTACTTGTAAGGCGGCCACTAGTCTATTTAGTGTATTTGTATTGTTTTACTATGTTGCTGATTGGGTTGCAATCTAATTACGTCTCGCTATTGAGTATCGGTCCGCTATGTGTTCAGGAAATGCAGCCAGTTACTCCGCGCGTGGACGGAGGAGAGCTGGCGCGGGCAGGGCGGGGGCGCGGAGTGGCGACGACAGCGCGTGTACCCGGCGGCGCTGGCGCTGGGCACGGCGCTGGTGTACGCGCTGTACGCGGCGCTGTACGCGGCGCACGCGGCCGTGCTGTGGGCCACGGAGCCGCTGGGCGCGGACGACGAGCGGCGCCGGGACGCCGACGCCGGGCTCGCCGCACTCACCGACTACGACGAGGACGCGCCCGGCGTCACACCCACAGGGAACACATAACTCATACCCTAGCGTACATCCACTTTGTGACCTCGATATTAAAATCGCCTTAACACCAGTCTTCTCTTTTATTTACTTGCTCGCTGCTGTACACGTAATTATGGATTTTAATATTCAAAAGACCTCAATACACCTACTGCTACCACAATTTTTTTGCCTTATTTTACAGCTCACTTAATACTTAATATCCAGCAATTTCAAAAAAATCGTATGATTTAGTATTTCATTGTCTCTGCTTGCCACAATGGGAGAAAAGCATATCATCTTCCTGCCCTTTTCCCGTTTTATTTGGGGTCGGCGCAATATGTTCTTTCTTCCATTCTCTCCTGTCACCCGTCACGCTATCACTAACTCCTCTGTCTTCCATATCATTTCTCACACAATGATACGTACTGAGAAACAAATAGCGTAAAAACAGAAGTTCATATAACAGATCAGGACTGCGCCACACCGTATTCCTATCCTGAGTTATTTTAATATGACATGCGCGAATTTAAAACTTTTAGTCCAAGTGCAGTAACAAATATAAAATAATTATAAAATATTTGCCATCAGTAGCACTACTGTCGAAAAATACAGATGTTGAAAGACTCAAGGATTCCCAAAGGGAACGAAGCTGCTTTCTGTTAATCAGTGAAGGAATTGCGTCTAATTTTTTTTATCTAGCCTCTATTCAAACGAGCGATAACGGCCTTCGTTCCAAATAATCCTCGAAACATGTGATAACTTTAGTTCAGATTTGATTAGGTAAAGTATATTTTCAATGTCATTACTTAAGCGAATTGTATTTGAAGCTCATTGGCGCCAAATACCTACACTTACGCCCGGTTTCTGAAAGGCTTGTCAACGCTAAAATTAACTAATCTCTTGTCAAGTCTTTTGATTGGTTGTTGATAATTCAGTCACCCAATCAGATGACTTGACAAGAGATTAAATTGATATTAACATTTTTTTTTTTAAATACGTTGCCCCACATTAGGATTTTCTCCTGTGTCGTGGTTGCGATTACAAACATACAATATCACATACACATCACACCCAGACCCGGAACAACAATTTGTGGATCACACAAAGAGTTGTTCCGTGCTGGAATCGACACGTTGCACGGCAGCCAGTAGCCCAGCCACCGCACCAACCGTGTAGAAAATTGATCGGCCTTTCGGAAACCGGTTGTAAGTCCAACTTACCTCGTTAACGTAACGTACAATACGTTGGTAAACCGAGCTTATTATTATAAATCAGAGACATAATAGAAGCAAAACACTTATATCTATAAACAGAAACACTGGAGGAAGCATCGGAGGCATTTAATAGGGTAGAGACTCACGGCGTGGTCACGGTCGTCGTTATGTGGCGCAGGGGTGGCGGCGTGAGCGGCGTGGGCGGGCTGTGTCTGTGTGTGCGCCTCAGCGTGCGGGCGCGCACGCTGGCGTGGGCTCACGGCCTCCAGGCAACGCTTCAGAGCGGCCAACTCGCGGGACAGCTCAGACTTCGTACTCTCTATTTCAGTCTGTGCACAATATACTCACATTTATTGAATTTTCATATATATATATATATTTTAATTGATTTAATTTTAGATGTAAGTTTTATTTTGCTGTGCCCTACAGGGTCCACGATTGTACTTAGCTCTAAGCCATTCTGTAACACCTCTTATACATTGTGGAATGCAAATAAATATGAATACACTTAAAGTTAATATACCTACATATATCAAATATATCCCCAATCCCTAAATCTAGAAAATCATAATTCCAAAAGGCAACGCTGTTCTAAATTCTTCTTACAACACAGAGAACGCTTACAATTTTCACATAGAGAAAAGATGTCTGAGCGCTATGTTTTGTCTCTAATGTGTTACAACATCTGATATAAGCGAAAGTAATAAGAGTTGAGTGAGTAATACAAGATGATGTTGTCTGCATGGTATTTATCACGGTTTAGTTTAATTATAGTATGGTAAATCCTAAATAAAATTATTTTAATAATTTAAAAAAATATGTTTAGGTAACTTTATTGTTGACAACAAACATATAAAATTGAATATTTTACAATTTTTATTTTATTATATTTATTACTTTATTTTTACACTTCTTATGTATTGTGTACATTTAATTAATTAAAATAAACTTACTAGTGCATCGACGACAGGCCGATGGTTGTTTGAGGAAGCCAGCTTCCTCTCCAGTTCCGCAATAGTACTGCTCTGTGTGTTGATCAGCTCTTTAGATCGAAGTAACTGTACGCCCGCGTCGTGCTTCAGTCTGTAACAATAAGTTTACATTAAAATAAATATTATATAGACATAAAGATTTTGTACAGAAAGATAATTTGTATCATAATTAGAGATTAATATTAAGCACATATATTACATTACAAAATATGGAAACTATTAGACAGAGGCACAGCAGTTCAAGACAAATTGGGTGAGCAAAAACAAAAAAAAAAAAACAGATGGCCCTCATTATTTCAATATCTTAACTCACTTTTAAGGTGATAAATATAAGCTTTAAGAGGACGAATTGGAAATTTTGGCATCAGTGATCTCTATTTTTCTAAGTAATTACGAAACGAATTAAAATATGAGTTGGTGACCTGAACAGTTCATGATTAAAACCATCTTTTGTTAGTTTTCATTACATGATTAAGTAACTTTTGTAACAGAGAAAAAAATATCAAACATACCTCCTTTTAAATAGAGATTTACATTTTATTGGCAAACGGGACCGATTTTAGCCTCTCAACTTGCTCTGTAGACAAGTCTATAAATACTCCTTAAAATTGTAGAAGGAATTTCTCAAGTTATCATTTTCGACTAAATAAAATAACAAAAAGCATTTTGTCGTTTACGTCGTTTTGTTATAAGCTAACGCGCATATTCAAACCTCGCCCCGCTGACACGCTCAGTCCCCCCTTGACCATTGTCAGCGACGGATCTGTGCTAGTCGCTTCCGGACTGCATCGGCGATTGCGTGATCAAATTTAGCGGTTTTATTGAATAAGAAGTCGGTTAAAAATGGGAAAAAAGAAAGAAAGATGTTCCAAAAGAAAAAGAAGAGCATGTCTTTTAGAAAAATGTGCAAATATGACGAAAAAGAAAGTAAGTTTTCATAATGAATTGTGAAATGTGTAGTTTACTAAAAAAGATGACGTTCAAAAAGTCACTTTGACTGTGACTTCAATGATGTTTATTTTTGTGACAAAAAATATGTAAGTAACTAAGTAGGTTCATTACCTACCTATTTTGTTTTCTATTTTTTGTGCTACAATCGCAATAAAAATAAGAAGAAGATTACAATATCTTCTGTAAAGTGTTAGTTCATTATAAAAAATATGTATATTGTGTTATATTTTAGGAAACAATCGTTGGAACAATGTTCGGAGAACGAAACTATGGAGTTGTCAACGTCATTGGGTATATGGTATGGCAATAATAAAATAGAAACTGAAATTATTAAAAAGGATGATGCGTTCTGGAAAAAAGACATGGAACCAAAGTTGTTAAAATTCTATTACGACTGTCTTCTTCCCGAACTTGTGGACCCCAGGCACACCAGGAACAAGCCTATTCGTGATCCGGATTACGTGATTGTTCATAACAATAAAAACTCTGTCCCAGATACTTGCAACGAACAATTAGAAAAAGCAACTGGCTCCGGAAAAGAAAATGCTGATTCAAATCAACAATCAGTCGTTGAATATGAGGATGTTTTTTCATTTTCCGAATTTTAATTTATTTTATTCTTAATTTTTTAATAATTTCCTATTACGATAATAAATATTGTATAATAATGATAATACACAGGAAGTGTAAGATATTATGTGTTTTATTGTAAATTCATTTTTATATATACGATGATATCAATTTAGAATGGTGATAGATATAGATGAAATGGCGACAGGTCACGGGTACAACTTGTGATCCACGGATGCCTCTCAAGTTGAAGGGTAAAATCTATAAGTAAGATAAGATAAATCTATAAGTAAGATAAGGTCTGTCATACTGTATGGATCAGAATGTTGGGCTGTGAAGAAGACGGATGAGAAAAGATTGCATGTAGCGGAGATGAGAATGTTAAGATGGATGTGTGGTGTGAAGAGAATGGATAAAGTGAGAAATGAGTATATTAGGGGAAGTTTGAAAGAGGCGCCAGTGACTGAAAAGTTGAAATGAAATCGTTTGTCTTGGTATGGTAATGTAGAGGAGAGATGAAAAGCATGTTGCTAAAAGAGTTATGAATTTACCTGTGGATGGATGGAGAGGGAGAGGGAGGCCAAAGAAAAGATGGATGGATTGTGTGAGAAGTGATATGATAGAAAAGGGAGTTAGTGATAGTGCAACGAGTGACAGGATAGACTGGAATAAAAAACCGTGTTGCGCCAACCCCAAATAAAACTTGACAAGGGCAGTAAGATGATGATGATCAATGTATAATAAATTATGTTCCTTGTTAAAATAAATAAACACACACACCCTCACAATAATTTAATACTTACAAGAAAAAGGATTTCAGCCTTAAAATACTTATGTAAATGTAAATAATGATATTTTAATCGTATTAAAAATTATTTGTGTTAATTTCCGAAAAGACAATCAATAAAAAACTTCATAGGTAAATTCATAAAAAAAAAATATATAAGACATCTCCAAGGTGTCTGTGTTCAGCGCAGCCACCGCCGCGCGCCGCTCGCCGGCGCCGCCTGTTGCAATGCATACGTAACTTACCGGGGTGCGTGCGGGGGGCGGGGCGCGCGCGCGCCTTGTTTTAGAATTATTGTTAAACAATTCGTCGCCTTAATTCCAGTTTTCTTACGGGATTTTTCTCTTGATGGAAACAGACAACGTACAGAGAAGAAAATCATTCATCACAAGTTTGAAACTAAGTAGTATAAATACCTTTTCACTTCAGCAAGTTCACCCTTGAGAGCTGAGCACTGTTCGTTCTTGGCATTGAGTTCCCTCTCGTACTGCAGGCGAGTATGGTCCAGCATGGCCTGCAGGTCCATGTACCGAGTGCGCTCCACTTCCAGCTTAGACTTCAGAAGGGACACCTCGCCTTTTAGACGCTCGTTGTTTTCCATCTGTTGACGAATATTTAGGTTTTTAAACCATAATATTTCTTAGTAATAACTAGTTTTCTGTCGTCAAGAATAAAGAGAGTATAATAGAAGGAAGTATTAAAAACTTTCTATGATTATTTAGACACCACTTACATACGGCGAAGGAAAACACCGTGAGGAAACGTGGACGTTTAATTTTTAATTACAAGTTTGAATTCGCCGAACCACCTTGAGCAGGCGTGGTTAATCACCACGCCTGCTCAAGGCGTGCTGAAACCTTCTCCGTGTAAGAAGAGGCCTTTGCTTAGCAGCAGGTACTTATAGATTGATGATGATTATGAAGTGTTAAAATGATGAGGTTACGATTTAATTAACCTACTCTCATAGAATATTTATAAAGAAAATAGATGTGAATATTAAAAGAGTATGACCTCATGTTGCAGCTGCGCATGCGCAGGGTCGGTAGAGTCGAGCGCCTGCCTCTGTAGCTGCGCCAGTCGCGCGCGGGACTCTTGTTCCCTCTGCTGGAGCTCTAGCTCCGACTGCATGGACGCTTCCAGGCGCTTCTTCAGGATCTGGATCATGTTGGAGTCCTGGCTCTGGAACAAACAGTAGTAGGTTCACGTTGATAATGACGTACTGTTACTGTGTACGGACGTACTGTTATTGGAAAGTTATTGGAATTTACAAAGTAAAATACTATTATTCGTATGTCTAAAAATCTGGCAAGCTATACTGTTGAAGGTACGTTTACAACATAATACTTTTTTTTGTAGGGATAAGCCCGCCATAACCTCCCAAAACCGCTGCGACACCTGTGAGCCAGGATCTACAGTAGATACAACCATGAAAACACCGTAACACTGAAGAACCGGCGCGTCCCTGAAGATATTACTTGTAGAAAAGAAAAAAAATGCAATATTTGGCTTGTTGTGGTAAAAATACTGATATGAAACCGATTTTAGTTGAAATTAGTTCCAACGCAGTTGAACATTTTGTATGCTGTATGTAGCAATGTGTAATAAGAAATGATTATGTCCCGGTACCTGCAGCGAGTCGGCAGTCTGTTTGTGTGTATCGAGCAGTAGCTGTAGCCTGCCGCAGTTGTCCCGCTCGGCCTCGTACCGCAACTTGCTGGCCTGCCACTCCGACACCAACTTGTCGCGGACCCTGCATACACGAGGTTAGGTTAGGTTTTATATTCATAGCCTCTACGATCTCATTGCACTTCTTAACATTTATTTTGTATGCATATGATAGGACGGCAAACGAGCAGACGGATAGCGTGATGGTAAGTAATCAAGGCCGCAACAACAAAGGAGTTACGAGTGCCCTTTTGAGGATTAAGAGAAGGAAAGTTTGGACATCCGGTCATCTCACTCACACAACGCTGTGGTTGTTTCACGCCGGTTTTCTGTGGGGACGTGGTATCACTCCGGTCGAGCCGACCCATTCATGCCGAAGCATGGCTTTCCCACACGTAAGCGCCATGTTCGAGGCGATAATAATTATATCCTTTATCATCTCGAAAAGTAACGATGAGAAGATATAAACTAGGTTAGCGTTATACATTTGTCAAGAAAATTCGGGTAGTAGGAGAATTTTTACACTAATTGCATTATACGTAATTCTAATAGTACTCTACCTGTTAAGTTCAGTAATCAGTGCGTCTTTATCTTTGAGCCTGGCCTCGAGGTTGTTGACCTGCATCACTAGCTTGTCATTTTCGATTCTCAGTCTGTTGAGCCGGTCCGATGACGAGGAGTGTATTGAGCTTGATGATCTACAACAACAATAGTACAAAATAAATGAAACATATTTCTTAAAACTTCCAACATTCTTGAAACCAAAATTGTGTCAGTTCCAGTAAATTGGGACTTTTTCGTTACTTCACAACATATTATTATGTATGTTGGTTATGTCAACAACAGTGACCCCACTGACAGTAAATCTTAGGTCTAGATAGCTTATAACAAATTGGGGTTGCGGGTACTAGCGACACAGCGGTACAATTCGGAACAGGAGAAAAATTAGTTGGTTTTTAGTCGCCAAAATTGAGGCGGATGGGGGTGGTGAAATAATTGGATGATATACCAACTATAAAAAGATAGCTTATACCACAACCTATATAGTTTTAATATAAAATGAAATGTGTATAAAAGTGTATAAGTAATACTTACTTGGATGTATTTAAAGCTAGACGAGGTATATCCTCTCTTTCGTCACTGCTAGCTGATAGAATCTGTTGAAGAGAAATAGTAGAAGATTATTATTCGCATAAATGAAGTAGGTTAGTGTTGACTTGAGATGTCCATCGCTGTACCTGTTCCATGATGTCCTCATCGAGTGTGTGCGAGTAGTCGAGTTGGTCCCTGAGGGCGCGCTCTAGTTCCGCAGTGGGCGAGCGTACAGCCAGCTCGCGACCCCCGCGCTGCGGGGACTCACGCGCCGGGGACACGCGGACTCTGTCGACAAGATTAACTAATTGTAGGTACTACTACTACAAGTAGACTGAACTAATGTTGTTTCGTGTAGTAAACCCATTGTGCACACTGTTTTATTTATAAGTTTGACCTTTTATTATGTGGTTTACTATGAAGTTTCTGTATATAAATACCTCATTTTTCACTGTGCTATTAAATTTATAATAGTTGCGCGTTTTTAGTCAATCAATGGCAATGATGATGTGACCTGTTTACGTATGCCTATTGCATCGACGAACAAAAATCATAACGTTATGTTAATTTGAAATGTTTGCTTACACACCTGTCGACAAGTTCCCTTAAATTTTCTAGTTCCACTTCAAGTTCCTGACATCTCTCCACTTTCTGGCGTAGTTTATTTTTCAACTCGCCTACGTTCGACTCTTCTCGCATCCTGTAAAAAAGATTTAATATGAAAACATTACACATAACTAGAGTTCACATATTCTTTTATCTCTTTCTAGTCATACTTTCATGTCTAAGTGAGGATCAAATCGTGCAAATGGCCTCCAGCAACCATTTAACAATTAGTATGAAAGCTAAAAATAAAAATCGTATAAGTTCTTATTCGAGTAACTGACCTGTCCTCGACAGCTTGCAGCCGTAGAGCGAGCTGTTCCTTCTCAGCGACATGTTGCAGTATGTCGCGCTGCAAGCTGTCCGCGCGCTGCCTGAGCTCTGCGTTGTCCACCTCCTTGTCCGCCGTCTGCTTGTTGGCCTGACTTAGGTTGTTCCGGAGTTCTGTCACGTCTAGCTTCGCTTTGGCCAACTCAAACGCCTGAAATATACCGTAAATTAGGACAATACTAACAAAAGATTAAAAGGGCTTCAATCATCTATTTTTCTTTTTTTTTTGTATTTAAAAAGGATGTAAGTTTAGGCCATTACGGAATAATATCCTACATCTGTTACCGGCTTCAACTGGCCCCAATTTATTTATTAGCAAAAAGCAACTGACATTAATATAATAATGAATGAATCACATTACCCTACTTTCCTACCGCCTACTCGAAATGTAGTAAACAGCCCAAATCCTCACCTTATCGTTGAGTTCCTTCTTGTTGAAGTCCAGCTCGTGTTGTAGAAGTGATATTTGTTTCCGTATCTTGGCGAGCTGCTTCTTGTCATTGCTGGCCTGTCGATCCAGTGACTTCCTCTCGTCTCCACTCTTGTTCCGCGGCGAAGGACTTCTTGACACCATCTTCAGCTGTTCCTTTAAAGAAGCAATTTCCTCGTGGAACGCGTTAATATCTTCGTGTAGGATCTCTATTTCTGTCTCCTTGTCCTTTAACTTGTCAGTCAACAGTTTCAGTTCATCTATAGTCGTTATTAATTCATTGTTCAATGAATTCACTCTGGCTAACTCACTCTCGTTGCTCTGTAGTTTCAAAGACGCATTCTCTTGTTCTTTCTCTAGTTTAGTCAATTTCAACTTTAAGTCTTTGTTGTGAGAGTTCAGATTATCATTTTCCTCGTTTAGTTTAGATATGTCTCGATTTAACGCGTCTACCGTGTCTTGTAAGTTAAAAACTTCGTTGGATTTCTCTTCGAAGGCCTCCTTGAGATTTTCCAACTCTTCCGTTTTGTCATTAAGACACCGTTGCAGGTCATCCAACCTATCTAGATGTTGGTTCAAACTGTCGATCTGTTGATTCTTCTCAGAAACGAGTTGTTGCAGCTTCTGTAGTTCATTAACTTTATCGTTTTCATATTTCTCCAAAGCGTTATTTTTACTTTGAAGTTCATCAATCTTTACTTCTAATTCAGCCATTTTGTTGGTCAAGGTCCGCTTTTCCTTGGCGAGTTCTAATATCATATTTTCTCGCCTTAGAATGTCTTCTTTAAGTAAATGCAAGTCTTTAGATTTATCGTTGACTTCTTGTGTCAGTTCTGCTAGTCTCTGTTCGAGTAGCTTTTTGTTTGACGAGAAATTATCTAATTGATTTTCATAGAACTTCTTGTCGTGCTCCATGGTGGCCATGGTGTTTTCTAGAAGCCCTTTTAGTTCTTCTACTTCCTCTTTCAAGGCAGGGAACTCACAGAGCTGTTCTTCTGCGTTTTTCAGTTCAGACTTACAATTATCTAACTCTGTTCTAGATTTTTTGATCTCGTGTTTCAATTGGGTCAGTATGTCTGGGAAGTTTTCTTGTTTCACGTCCAACGTTATTCCTAACTCTCCCAGCGAGGTAAAGTCGTTATGTGTTTTATTGTCGGTAGTTTCCAAAGAAAAGTTAATTTTCTTTGGTTCGACGCTCAGGTCTTTGCTGTCGTTGGCGTCTCTGTTGGGGTACATTGAGCAATTATCTTGAATGATTTGAGCATGTTTCATTTCTATGCCGAACATTGTAGTTTCGTTGACATTTCTCTTGTATTGTTTGAGTAGGTCTTTCTGCTGTGTGGAGGTTAGATGTGCCGGTAGTGAGTCAGCCCGCGGGGTCAAACCGGGCAGGTCGAAATGGTCAATATATTCTAAGTTGAGGGAACTCATGTTTGCTTTGTCTAGTTCAGGTGGTAATGTTCTGTTTAGAGTTCTTTCCTTTGTGGTGTCGGCGAGCTGGGCGCCAGTGATACTTGTGTTCTGTCCCTTCAGCTCGGCCCTGCGCATCTGCAGGTCCTGCTCGTCGAACTCTGATATAGACACGATGTCGCTTAAAGTCCGTGCAGAAACTTTCCCTTCCAATACGTCGCCATTCTCCTCCTTTTGGTTGTCTTCGTCCAATTTTAGCGCTGTGGAACGAGTAATGAATCATATTAAACTGCTGGAGTTAGCTAGACGGATCTTTCACCGTCAACCTAAATAATTGCGAGGAAGTTGGAATAAATCCAAATCTACATATAATTAGTCTAGACTGATGTAAGTCCTAAAACAAACTGAAAAACATGAATCACTGACGTGAAATGGAACTGTTTTGTGAACTGAAAACATGTTTATATCTTATTCTCAAGTTTCGCAAAACTGAATAAATGAATATTCTAATACAAAAATTTCTGTTTTCGTTTACATGAGAATTAAAACAGCAACATTGTTCCGTCTTCACTAATGGATTTGGTCATGTCCTCGATATAACTAATCTTTATGAGTATTTCGTCATGTTTCGCGCGCGTTTGAGCGAACCTAAGCGGCTAAAGTTAGTGGAAGCACTAATTTCAATTTAATCATTGGATGAGAACACATTCTAGACGAAAACATAGAGTATGTAAATGATTAATTACTTTTCAATTTTAAACAATATACTATTAACTGATTACAATATAATAATGTAATCCTTATTTAGCTCCCATTAAACAAAAAAAGACAAACAACTTACCAAGTAATTCTTGCAATTGGTCTTCTTTCTCTGCCAGTGCTCTTTGATGGTCCCTGACGGCGGCATGTAGTTGTTCCTTGTCTTTCTCCAAACTACGTGCTAGGCTCTCTAACTGAGCTATGCGCGACTGAGCGGTGGACAGCTCGCGTTCTAATATTATTACTTTATCTTTGGGGTTACCTGGTGGCAAGAAAACAGGTAATCTGTATTTTAACATAACGTTATGTATTTTAATCATCTAAGGACTAGATCTAAGTGTATGTAGCAGAGGGCAAAGTTTTTGCCTTGCATAGGCTAGTTTCTAGCAAGTCGAGAAACCCAATTACCCTTGCTTGACCAAGGAATTAAACCAGATATACGCAGCTGAAAACGGATAGTTGGGTTTGCGGACGCTGCTCCTGAATAAGAGTCCAGTTGTGGCTTGAAACTATTAGAGCTTTTCTCGGTTCAAGTGAGTAAGACATTTTTATAAAAAAAAGACAACGAACAACTTTTCGGTAATCACATTCTTCAATTAATCAAACCCCACGCGAACAAATTCGCGCACATATTTATCGAAATCGAACGAATCAGTACTATTCATGTCTACAAAATGAACTTATGGAGAACATGAAACTCGGTGTGTTTATTCTAGCGCCATTTGGTGCAAACTTTGTGTATCGATAGTACGGGTTTACTATATCTACATTAATGTTTTAACGGCAAAATTGTTACAACAAAATAGGTTTAACTACAGACCATGACCTGATTTCGAAAATTCTTCATTACAAACAGTAATTAAACAGTTTTATGAGAGTTATATATTCCCTTCACGTACTTATGTCACAACAGGTTGTTTTCTTCCAGCAATTAATTGAAAACAGAATCACACGCATGGATTTGAGTCATCAATAAAAGTGTTACATTTATCAATGACTCACTTTATTTTTCTCATTGGCAAATACTTCCTACATAGGTACACTACAAACGGTATCAGTTGATAAATTAATAATTTTGTACAAGACTGAATAAACGTTTGTTATATGACCAGATGCAAAAATAAGATGGAAGCTAAACTATTTAAGAGCTGTTGTAAATGGCGCTGTATTGATTTTGAATTGAAATGAATGCATTGTGGATGAAGAACCAACAACAATTTGTGGCTCCGGGGATTTATATTTGTCTCGACACATTAGAGAATCCTCGTTTACATCTTTAAATAAGAAATTAAAAGAGTATGTACTCCTTGCGTCAATGACGGTGATATAAACACATGGAATAAAACAAAGTCGCTTTCTCCGAATTGTTGAAGTAAGCAGGCAGTTCGCTAGTTAAAAATTAAAAGAGGTTTATCTCTGTATAATAACAATGTAACTTACATGAATTTCCATACAAGGAGTGATGCTCATCTTGAAGCTTCTCCCTCTCCTCCAAGTTCTGTTTGACTCGAGCCAATTGCTTGTCTTTCGACTCCAACTCTTCCTTCAGCCTTTGCACCTGTTTAGCAATGAAGAAAAACTTGCAATTCGTATAATTTAACTTTTATCAAAATGATTGCAAATATGGTCATTTACATTTTTTAAATGGCCAAGTAGAAGAAGAAGTAGAAGTACAAGATGTAGGTATGTGGGCAATTTTATGTTCAAAAACGAAACTGTACAAATTAATATTTTTTATAATAAATTAAGGTACAGTTGTTTATACATTTAAATTCAAATAGAAGCAAATATAATTAATTTAATAGTAGACATTAAAACAGTATTTTTTGACATTATCATCTGAGATGTCAATGCAAATCCACGAAGATATGCTTATATGCAACGGTTCCTATAATGTAGCAAGTATTACTAGACTTACCTCAGCGAGTGCGTCATGCAGCTGTACGGAGAGTTGGCTGGTGGCCTGGTGGGACAGTGCCTCCGCGTCATTGCGCTGCTGCTGCAGGCGAGCTGACAGTGACGAGATCTTCAGCGCCTGCTCCGACATGCGCGCCTGCAGGACATCGCGTTCCGCGCGGACCTCCTGACACACACACACACATACTATAAGTGGGATGTTCGTTGTTATACGAGATCAAATTATAATGTAACATTAATATGAATGCTTATGAATATTTGTATAGACATTAATAATGGCTATGGATATCGCTTTTGTTGTGTTTTTATTAATTCTAGTAATATATGCATTTACAAATGTACGCGTTATTGAGTATTGAGTAGAATTTATTATTGGTTACTTCTACATTACGAAATGAATTTATCCGCACTTCACATTTTAAGCATTAATACGAATAACTACATAAACTTATACTAGACTTAGAAACACCCTAAACATAGTTTCATAAATACATACATCTCCTATCACGTCTGTCTGTTTGTATAGGTACGCGGTAAACTCAAAAACTGATGATCGGATTTTAGTGCACTTCAGACCAATAGATAGTTTGATTTCAGAAGATAAAGATTAGAATGTAGGTTTACCTAATATGTTTTTTTCCGGCGAAACCGCTGACGGAAAGCAAGTTATACAGCATAGTACAACTCCACGTCCACAAATAGACAAGCGTGGCTACAAATACACTGTCAAGTCAACCATTAGTGTAACGACTTAACGCGTCATGTTACTGACATTTTGCAGTAGGAAGTGAGGTTGCACGGTTGCACCTGGTAGTCCACCATACGCTTACGACAAAATAAACGTCAGCCGCGATCGAAACAAAGTTCAGCGTACATTAGTCATCGAGCTTTATATTTAAACACGACACAGTTCTAACACATGAAATAGGTCTGCAAAGATCATTAGGTCGGCTTAATCAATGGATGACCCGAATTTTGTTGTTTGAGAAACGTTTAATTTTGCGATGATTTAATAATTACCTATCTTTAGTTAAGAACTGGTAAGTTATACACCTATATCTTGTGATATGATCTTTGCTACATAATTCCTAATGTTTGGGTTCAATCTATAATAATCTGTGTATAATACTCGTATATAGTATATGAATATTGTTTAAGTATAAAATTTATTGAAATCAACAACGTAATCACGTTAATTTACTGTTTTTTAAATAAGTCCCGCTGTGACTTGGAACCAGTAGAGCTTTTCTCAATAAATTCATGTAAGTAAATTTTTTCAATAAATTCAGCATGTCTCAAGATAATTAGTTATGTCAATCTACAGATTATAAAATTCTTATAAAAGAATTTCTATTCTCCTTGATCACGGCATCATGATTAAAAGGTTAAAAACCGATTTAGCAAGTTCTTATATTTTGTTGTGTTTGTTTATCAGAACGCAGATATGTTGTTATAAAACTACCTTTTGGAAGTTTCACTGAAAAAAAGTAACCAATTTCATATCGATTTTAAAGTAAGCGACTAACGTAAAAAAAGTATGACTGATGTAATCGGGCAAGATAAAATTGCGTCCATTGCGTTCACAAATATAAAAAAAAATGAAAAAAACCGCTAATCTACGCATTCCATTGTCAGCATCCAGATAAAATAAAGAATATTTACGTGTATGGACTAAAGTGAAAAAGTTATTTAAAGATAGTTTATTAGAAGTATCTTAAGCGATGCTACAAAGCTTTCATTACTCTTTTGTTATTAAGAATAAATCCACCGCTAAGTTCAATGACCATTCTTATATTTTTAAACGCAAGTACTTAAAGCTATCTGCAGAATCAGATTCTTGTTAAATATGTGACTTTTATCGAGTGAAGATTTTTTGTTTGCAACTCAACGATATTTGTTTTGATACTTGGCGTGTTGATTTAATTTTAGATGTGTTCTCTGAAATATTTGCTCTTGTGTAGATAAGCTGCAGTGGCGCCAAATTGCTGTTTGCTGAATAAATCCTAGCTACAGTTTATTATCGTGACGTAGTGCCTAAAGACTATAGAATTTATTTGTCTATAGATAAAGCTAACAAACAGAGTAATACCTCGTTTTAAGAGATCCTATTCTTCCTTCCTATCTGTCTTTCTGTCTATCCTTATATGCGTTTGTCAGTCTGTCATTGGATTATATCGTAATTTCTAAAGATTATTTTATGAATATGGCGACTAACGAGCAGTCGGATCACCTGATGGTATTGGTAAGAAATCAACGTCGTTTATAGAATAACAGGCCTCAACGGGGTAACGAGTGCGTTGCCGTAGATTTTTAGAGGTTGTGAAGACTTTGAGGATTGAAATAGAAAACTCACGTTTGCTATCATTGAATAAGCTGCTTACCCTTTGTAAAGCCCCCAATAAAGCTTTGCCAACCATCGTATTGGACAACACATGACAATAACGCTACCAATGTCAATTGATGTAATAATAAAATTGACAAATGATAGCAGCGGAGACCGGCAGATTGAACAATTTAGCATATTGTAAAGTAATATAAGTGCCGTCGATTCACTTGTGGCTAGACGGCGACGACACTGTAATATATGTATTCCTAAATTATCGGCTTTAATCCTATAGTTATAAAGTCGAATATCTTTTGAAGAGAACTGATAGATTAGTATAGTTTGATAAGCTGGTGCAGCATGTTGTTTTTATAGAAAACCATTGCCTCAGTGAACCTGACTTTAAAAAAGTTTTATTATACATTTATACCTCGTTATTAAGCTAACTGTACTTAAACTAACATTTCATTACCATTGAGGCTTATTTTCAAGAAGGTCATGATCACTACGCAAGTTACCTTTACATGTTTATCATTAGAAATAGTAACAACAAGCAAAGATCTTTGAATGGTAACTTCCCAAGACATAACTTATACATTTAAATTGACTCACAAAAGCTCTACTACTTTAAAATTTCAATATAATATCATATATCTTATCTTAAATGGTTGTGACTTTATATTGGTAGATTTTCTCATCTCCAATAAAAACAGCAAAGATCATTCAAGAAAATATTGAATAAAAACGATGATATGAATTACTAGCACACTCATAACATCATATTATATTTCCATTAGGTATAGTTTTCCACAAGCTTTCCCGATGTCACTGCGCGTGCGTCGTATAAAACGTCCATGATGCGCAGTTGGCAGTGTACGAACAATGATTGTATTTACAAGATGTTCAACTTGCTCTCTTGATTGCGTTAAATAACAATGAAGTAATATTTGCGTGTACTAGCTATTGTTATTGTACTAGTATACTATTATGTGACTTCGGAGTATGCAATTGGTTGCTGATTTGTAGGTGCATGTCAGTAAAAACTAGAATCGTCTTGGATCTATGCACACAATAGTCATAGTTTTGATTGCAAAGTCTCTAAAATCTAATAAGTAGAAGTTCTCAAAACCTAAAATTTTCAAATGTATCCTTTATTTCTGGCTGCACATAAATCTTGTTGTCGAAGTATAATAATTCTATCAACGCATTTTACATTTATGATACTCAAAGTACATACTGAAGATATATTCTCTATTTAAAATAGTGTTATAATTTCGACTTACCGTAAGATCCGGCAACCCCATCCTAACGTATTTCCTAAAGTAACTCCAAACAAACATCACACACGTATCACTACATTGACGCCATATCGCGACACTATACTAATATCACGTTACATTGCTGGTTGACTGCATTGTTACACGTCACATGTTGATGGAGAAGTGCAATGGATGGCGTGCGTTGATGGCTGATCGAGGGGTGAAGGAGAGACCTTACGGCAGCAGAACACGCTCTGAAGCATCGGGAGAGACTGAACTCAGACGCTACGGTGCGCGGGTGGGACGAGACGCGGATCGTCGAAAAGTTGGACGGGACGCAATATTCATCTCACTCGTAAATATTATAAAGAGCATTAATTTATTGGACAATGAATTAAAAAAAACATGACTTTAATCTTGTCATGCCTAATTAAAGCTGTTTTAATTTTAATGAAAGTTGATGTTAAGAATGTAACAATGGAAGATGATAATAATGTGAATTACATTATCCATTTAGCCTACCTACACTACATAACTCTTTAAACAAAACTGTAAGTAAACAATAAATTAATCCAATCTCCTATTCGATTATACCGCATCCACATATTTTCCTCATAGTTCCCTCCAGCACCTATATTTAACACACACGAGCGCGTCAGTTGTGTGCGTGCGCGTACGACACGTAGGGTTGCCAGCTATTTCTGTGCACTGTTTATCTTCCTGCTTGTGTAACAGAGGGTTAATCGTAACCCAGTAAATGGGTTACAACGGTTACGAGCAAGCATTGTTTAACAACATCAGCCTGCTTTATCATTAATGTAGAAAATAGAAGGTTGGGTATCCAACAAGGTTATTTTTCACAGCTAAGTTGATTTAGCGTTGGGTTACCGCCGCCAGCTTGCACTTATGAAAAACGAGGCGTTAAGTGGTTTACATGTATGGCGTGTTGCCAGCATTTTTTTATTCATTTTTCTTTAACAAATTGCGGAAGCGAAAGTGTACTTTGCCCCACTGGCAAGATATCATATAAAAATTAATTAGTGTTGTACTTTTTTCTACACAAACTTGTATTGTAGTATTGGCAACCCTGAGAGAATAGTTAATAAAACCTCATAATACAAATTGAGAGAGCGGAGAGAGTTCATCCCGCATATTAGGGTCGGGTAAATTACTGCGAATAACACGCGTCTGTGTCCGTGACTGTACTACGGTGACTAATAGCCTAGTAGGCAGGTCCGGGAACACCGTGGGTTGGGTAAGGTCAATACATGGTGAAAGAAAAAAGTACTAAGAAAAAATGATATATTTCAGAAAAATAGCAAGAAGTAAACTACTCGTACAATCTTTCCAAACACCATTATTGAAAGTATTGAAACCCTTCAAAGAAAGCACTATTTTAGTGATAAATACAATGTATTTCCGTCCGTCCAAACGGGATCGAGCCATTAGCGCGTTGTAATATTGAAAATACGTGTTTAATCGGTAAATCGCAGTGCCTCGATGCCAGGAACTGGGCTAACTGTTGCAATACGACGCGAGCCGGTGCGAGCAAACTTTGATGCATCGGTCGCAAATCTAAGCCGC